CAGGTCGGAGAAAACAATAGTGAATAACACCATGCTGAGACCACCAAACAGTTACTATTACCTTATTATTGATAAGTTTTGCTATAGGACTCTCTTGTGGCGTTTGACCTGGGGTCAGCTGACGCATTTTTCTTTTACGGTTATCATAAAGAATTCACTTTTCATCACATGTCACAATTCAATCCAATATTCCTTCATTTCTGTAGCGATTCAACAAGGCAACACAAGTTTCAACACGCGTTTATTTCTGCAGGTCAGTCAAATCATGAGGCACCCATTTTTCATATATTTTTATTTTATTGTTTTGACGCAAATGAGTAAATATTGTGGGTAAAATAACGTTAAACCATGCCACTAATTTCTGGATAGTTGGACTAGGATCGGCTTCCGCCATCTCTCTTAATTCATTGTTATTCACCTGTGGTCTTCGTCATGGCTCGTTCTTTCTTTTCTAAGTTGAATTACAAAAACAATTGAAAGTCGATATTCAAAAATTTTACATTCTTTAAAAGAAGAACATCATAGAAACTATGTGAAAAAAGTTTCTCTCGAAAACCTCAACCCATGAAGATTCTATGTCGGTCGGTCGGTGGTACGACACACCGTTTTATAGGTATTTGGTTTGTTGGTAAAAATAGGGAAGACAATTTATGCACTCTTAATATTTTAACATATCATTGTCGTTAATCCGAATAATTATATTATATTATTTCCATGTTTTTCATACTACAGTGCTAGGAATGTTATGTCGAGCTTTTCAATGTACTCACTTGACAAGTATATAATTATAATAGCTAAGGCCAGTTCTCCCGGAAGCCATATTTGTAAAGTAGCTTCGTAGGTGTTCAATTAAATCGTATGACAAGGTAGAATATTTAGACAACTTATAAAAAAGACGTTGAAGATTAACTTAAATATCTTTATAAAGACGTTCCAATCAGATGGTTAATTTTTCGACCTTTTTAAGTTAGAGAATTGATAATGGATTTATTTCTATTTAACAATTTATTTATGTCCTGTGGCCTAACACTCTAGCCAAAGGATACGACATCTAAACGATGCTAATAGTGATATTTCGTTCTATTTTACTACCATCTTTAACATTTCTTTTGGTGGTTAACCGACCAAGTTTGTAACACTGCTGTCAAATCCATAATCTTCATTATTTATCATTCGTCCGTCATTTTAAAGTAGGTAGGCATAGTAGATGCGCTGCGGCCCACGATCGTTGTTGTTAAGCAAATTCCGCAAAGGTCGGTCACGGGATGGGTGACCAAAAAAATATTAAATTTAGCTACTCCGTGCATCGGAAAGCACGTTAGGCGTTGGTTTTGGCTGCATTTGCAGTCGGTAATACTCTCCAATCAACATTGGCCTAGAGTGGGGCGCCCTCCTTAACCATAAGGAAGGCCTGAGCCCCCGAGTGGGGCCTTAAAAGCCGGATGACGACGACGATGACAAGTCAAAGTCGTAAATGATATATCGTCATAACATCGCTAAGATGTCATATCCTATGGTTAGAATCATGACTAGCGAATTAAATGATCGCAGCTTAGATAATATTATTATGGGATACTAACTTTTGTTCTATGAAATTGAATATTGTTTAAAGGCAACAGAAAGCTCTCTATTTTGTTTGGTCTAATAATGTCCTTTGATCTTAAAAATATTTATCAGATTAATTCCAATAAAAAAATTATTAAAAAATTAAAACCGACTTAAAATTTTTAAAAGTGAGAAATAATACTTATCATACAGTTAAATTTTTCAAGAACCAATGAAATCGGGCGGAGGTTTTCTATAGTTTATTAAATGATAAAACGATTATCTTTCTTGAAAAATGAACTATGATATGTATTTGTTACGCGTTCTGTGTTATATATGAAAGTATATATTAAATGTCGTGTATTTTTATTAATAATCTCTTTATAATTGTGCACCCTACTCGCATTGGTTTCCCCACGTCCATTATATAATGCCTATAAGGCATTAAGTCCTCCATTGTCCTTTAAATGTAAATACAGTATTAAATATTTTATTAATACCTATTGTCGTTACTCAAACTTAGCATGTTCCAAAATGTAATGGTAAAGCCTAAAATATAGTTTTTTTTTAAATTCTTACATTAGATTTGATGTGATAAACTTATATTACGAAATACCAAGATTTACTTGTAAAATCTAATAGTAACATAATATAAAGATTGTTATAATTTTTGTTCCTATTTTAATTTCGATAAGCTCAGCAACGAGCTTCCTGTATTGACGATAGCGTACGACGAACACTTACGGCCAGTTGCACAATCGTCCATTAAGATGTAATGACGCCTTTAAGCACTAATTAATGTCGAATTTGTATGGGTAATGTCTTTTTAAACTAATGTCTATTTTAATGGACTTTTGTGCAACTGGCCGTTAACTATCAATGCATGCTGTGAATATCATTTGTTGATGCATTATGCAAATACAGCAAAACATTCCTAATGCTTTTTAAATTACGTAATGAAACATCATTATCTTACTATAGATAGCATTTATTTGAAAATTTTTATATGTACATTACATATACTCAAAGGTCTTTTTTAATTAATATTAAATAAAAAGTGGCCATGTGCTAGAGTTAGATTCACCTATAATGGGTTCCATAGTACAAGCATAGCAAAAAATATTGCTTATATAATGACAAAGTTATTGAAAATATCTTAAATATCATAAATATCGACTATAACCTAGTTCAAACCAATTTTCGTTGAGACCTTCGTTTTAGATTTTTTGCTCAGTTATTTAAAAAGATTTTTATTATTTTGGTATAAAATGTAAAGCGATTCGCAGAATAAATCTCACCAGCAAGTTTTAGCATCTATAGTTTCGGAATGAAGACGTTGTGAGGGTTCCATTTTTTCCCATTTGGCTACGAAATACTCAAAAAGTTCAGATTTTGTTTTCATACTTCAAAATAAATGTTAGTTATAAATTGTAGGTAAATAATAATCTGAAGTATGTAGGTAAGTTTTTCAATTAATTATAAACCAATATAGCTATTTTAGCTAAAAGCTATACGAACCAGAACCATAGCAGTCAAAGTTAATTATTACTGTGAGGTTTGGAATTGTATACTTAAGCAGAATATTAAATGAGAAACCCTTACTACGGAACGGGGTATAGATATTTACGGAGGTTTTTCCATATTTACAAGATATAGTCCTTTTAATAGAAACATCAATATTAATATTTTGAAATGGTATTTAAATATCCTATGTAATTATTAACGTTTTCTTTGCAGAACACTTAAGAATATTTATTAACATTCAACATTTTTGTTACAGAAACAATGTACATAGAAACCTTACCGCTCGTGGTTTGGACGCTCTTAGTCACGACGACAAATGTAAGTATATCTAACATAGGTTTTTTAGGACAGGTACCAATAATTCAGAAATAAAACTACTATTTAACGTTTCTATCGCGTCTATGTTTGAAAATTATTTCATTATTCACACTTTTTGGATCCTTTACGGGTTACGTGTTCACTAGTCCACACTACAATGCTGTGTCAACCTATAATTGGTATATTTATAAGATTCAAACCTAACTGTTATCTACTGAAGTAATATGAAATATGTGTGCCGTTGGTTGTCCATATATAATAAATAAATAAAATGCTATATAGAAAAATATTCTGACTGAAAAATGTTTAAAAAATACACTTTGTCCCTCTTATTAGTCATCAAAACCTATATCCTTTTTAACAGAATATATTTGTATATAAACAATGACAAATGTTCATTCGTGTATGTATATTCATGAGTAAATAAAGTTAAAAGCATTTATTGAAATTATCCTTTTGATAATATCAAGGAAGTTCATAAACAAACTCTATGAGAATGACTAACGAATCGCAGATCTACTTTCTAGTTACAACAATGGTAGTAGTTAGAATCTTTGTTTTTTTCTGGCTTACAGTAACAACTAGATAAGGCAGAAAAACATCCGTAATCTGTAATTTAATATATCTTTTCAGGTAGCGACACAAAATCAATATGGAATAGGCTTAGGAATAAAACGAGAAGTATTTTTCTTAAATTTAGAAGACGGCTATTTTGGCTGTCAAGTAAACGAATCGACACAAATATTACAATTATATGAGTTATCTAAACTATGCGACGGTGTGCCTGATTGTTATAAGGCATCCGACGAACTCAAAACAGAGTTAAAATGCACAGGTAAGCCACTTGTACTTTAAGCCACTTGTACTCTTAAAATCCATTTTCGACATACTACGAATGACAACATGCACTGTCCTACTCTACTGCATAACTGCATTACGAATTGAGTAAATTAGAGCGCGATAGACGACGAAACAGATATATCGAAAGTCGGTTTTAAGAACAAAAGCCCAAGAGCTTTAAAAGTATGCAGAGTAACTGACCTATCCAAATTGAAATAGTTTTTGTTTCCAACTTTTCAGTGTAGTTAAGATAAAAGTTTGCCATTGTTAGACATCGGGAATTTCATTTTGTTGAATTTCAGTTTCTTGCCATATCTCCTGCTGCTGCATTTTGCTCGTTGTATTATTTACAGACAAGTTCAATTGAAAATAAAATCATTAGACTTTGAAGACACTTCCTTTTACAAGATATAAAAACCGGCAAAAAGAAGTCTTTATAGGACACAAAACTTAGTTTGTGATTTTGGCAAATATTTACCTATGCTACATAAACTTAACATAATAAGTCAGAAATAAAGCTCTCAAATATCCTTTTCATATATATTTGTATATTGGTCTACCAGAAATTTCTCTAATCAAAGAACGAACGTTCATATCGATACTGAGTGGTGGAGTTCGACAAATATACATACATCATACTAACCTATTACCTATATTAAGTATATACTATTCGTAGCAATCAACACAATTGAGTTGTAATGATTGTTTTGAAGAGGCAATCAGTATTGCTATTTTAGTGTCGAACATATCACGTCACGATTTAATGAATGAAAATGATGTATACTATAAACCCACGTGGGTTTGTTATGTTTATATTTGTAACGAATCGCGTGCTCGTAATTATGTTTAAAGCAATGTACCATAAAAACATAAACAATATTCAGGTAGTTACATATTGTATTACTGTTATATAAGAATTAATAGATGATCTAAACGATTTAATACTTTTCTAGATGATTGTACCAAAGAAGATGGCGCGCGTTGTATAAATGGTGTCTGTCTAAACGGTGTGTGCCATTGTAACGATGGTTTCGGCGGATGTAACTGCCAGGAACTTGGTATGTTCTGAATTATTAAAAGTTGTTTATAACAATAAAATGTGTTATATTGTGATGAACAACTAACTCTATCTATCTAAAATGAGATTACACGGTAACAGTGTCCTATATTTAAATTCCAGATGTAAACGAATGTAAAGACAGGCCATGTGACGTTTTTGCGCATTGTACAAATACTGTTGGTAGTTTTCAATGTTCATGTTTTCCTGGCTATGTTGGTGACGGATTCACTTGTAAAGGTACAACAACGTTCATATATTTCTTTTTTGACAAGAATTAATTTAAATTTTTCGAATTTAACATGTTTATTTTTCAATACGTAGATATAAATGAGTGCGAAGATCCTGCAATTGCCGCTCGCTGTGTTAAAAATGCAGAATGCTGTAATTTACCCGCTCATTTTATATGCAAATGTAACCGAGGTTTCGAAGGCGATGGCGAAGACGAGTGCCGAGGTAATTAGCCGAGAAATCTATAACTAAGTATAAAATTAAGAAAAATAATAATCAACTTTAATAACCTATATTAATCCCAATTAACATATACTTCGCCTCAAAACATTTTAAAGAAAACTAGATTATAAAGCTAATATCTATTTTGTGTTATGTTCTAGATATTGACGAGTGTCGACGACCTGGCGCTTGTGGTGTTAACGCTGTATGTCAGAACTACCCGGGAAATTACACATGCGCATGTTTATCTGGTTACACCGGAAATCCATTTGATGGTGTAAGTAGCAATGGGACTTTTGTTTTCACAAAGTGGATATTAACCGATTTGTTGTATAAAAAGATCGGCTAAATGAGAGTCATGTTTGGCCACCGATTGTTCCGTACAAATATATATATTTTTTAAAGTATCAGTGATTTTACCGTAAATTCCCAAAGAATGGTATCGCCTAATAATATTACTTTAAAATATGAATTGAGGTAGCATTATAATATATGCATATTATTAATGTCAAAGCGATTTATGTAGAGTTCTAGTATTAGGTAAATATAATCACTAGACTTTTCAAAAGTTGTAAATATGGATCCTATTAATATGTTGTCGCATTCTTTTTTTATCTAGTGCGTCGATGTTGATGAGTGTTTGAACACGGAAGCCTGTGGTGAGGGAGCTGTTTGTCGAAATCTGGAAGGAGGTTATGAGTGTAGCTGCCCGGCTGGCTATGAAGGTGATCCTCGTGTCGGTTGTCGTGACCATGACGATTGCTCGCGTTCCTCCTGTGGCCGCAACGCAGTCTGCGAGAACATCCCCGGCGGTTTTCGTTGTGTTTGCCCACCAGGTTACGAAGGCAACCCCGATGTCCAGTGTACCGGTAAGCTCGACTGTTGGTATGCCATAGGCATAGGTACGACAGACGCTAACAACTTCATCTATAGTCATTAACATAATATTTCTAATGCTTCCAATACTTTAACACTTCTAATGCGCCGCGCAAAACTACCGCTAATTGGACGCGTGGTAGGTCACGCTTCTACTAACTTGCCTATTTACATGAACAAATTCAAAAATCATGTTTCAGAAAAAAAAATCATAATGTTACTGCTGAGATGCAAATTTAACGTCGGCCGCAATAGGACAGATCGACGATTCATACACATTTAGTTGTTCTACAAGAATTATGACAAATTATGTGGACTATTGCCTTTTCTTGTTTTCTCTTCTTTAGCCATCTTATGGAATGCTGATCGTTTGGCGTTTGTGTTTCTTTCTTTCTCTTCGTAGTGGCTGTCAGCGTACCTACATACATGTACGTATTATATTAATGCCCATATATACGGCAAATGTAATTGGATTTGCGTTGTTTGTTACATTAGACGTGGATGAATGTAAGAGTAGCGAGTCAATCTGCAGCGAACACGCGGTGTGCTCTAATACTATTGGCAGCTTTGTATGCGTGTGTAAACCGGAGTACACTGGCGATGCACGCGCACAAGGTGGATGTCGCGACATAAACGAGTGCGAAGTATTTGAACAACCCTGCGGTACATATGCGCTTTGTGAAAATGCAGAACCGGGGTACAATTGTATTTGTCCTCAAGGTTATAAAGCTAATCCGGATCCGCAGATCGCCTGTGAATTGGTGAGCAAAAGGAAATTAAACGAAATTAACTTATTTATGTAAGATAAATTCAAAACATTTTATTTTTCAGGTCGATGTCAATACTTTATGTAAAACAAATTTTGACTGCACGAATAATGCTGAATGCATTGAAAATCAGTGTTTCTGTAAAGATGGATTCGATGCTAAAGGATCAGTTTGCGTGGATGTCGATGAGTGTGTTACAAAACCAGCTATATGCGGAGAAAACGCTATGTGTATTAACACACCCGGTGGTTACAACTGCGAATGTGCAGCTGGTTTTATAGGATCTCCACCACGAGTAAAATGTCGTGCTCCTTGTGAAGATGTTAAATGTGGTGACCATGCATTCTGTAAGCCAGATGGTTCTGAAGCATATTGTGTATGTGAAGAAGGTTGGACGTTTGATCCAAATGACATAGCTGCGGGATGTATTGATATAAATGAATGTGATACCTCAATTGGATCAGTTAGACGTTGTGGCGCTAATGCAAAATGCACCAATACTCCTGGAAGCTTTTTGTGTCAATGTCCTGAAGGGTTTACGGGAGATGCTTACAAGCAATGCATAGATATCGATGAATGTCAAATTGAGGGATCTTGCGGTACTGGTGCCGAATGTAATAACCTGGAAGGTTCATTTTCATGTGAATGTCTCGAAGGGTCTATTCCTGATCCTGATCCCCATATTCGATGTGCCGAAATATTAGCATGTAAAAATGATAATGATTGTCCAGGAAACGCTTTATGTGATTCAAACTCGAGATGTTTATGTCCCGAGCCAAATATTGGAAACGATTGTAGACGTAAGTAATTAAATAATAATATTAGTTGTTTAATTTCAGACCATAAATCTTACTGCTTATCTAGTGTCCGTCAGTCTAGCAGCGCCACCCTCTTGGATTTTGATATAAGTTCTTGATCTATCTAGTCCTTTACTTATCACTTCGTTATGAAATAGTGACAAATAGTCAAGTTATGTAGTTTCGGAGATTAACGATAATTTTTGTGGCGCTGCCGTGCTGACATTGGCAGCGCCACGCTGTATCTTCTAAACTATACCACTTTATAAGGTCATTCTTTTAAAACGTCAAATCATTTTAGCATGAATTCATATGACATTGAAACTTTTGCAATTGTGCAAGTATGCACCACTCTCGGGTATTATATTAAGATATTGGTAGACACTTATAGATAAGTTAATCCAAAATCTACAATCAACAATAATGTGTAGCAGTATAAGCCTTATTTTGCGATGTGATTAATATATTGTTTTCATTTTAGATCCTTGTGAAACTTTGCAATGTGGGAGTAATTCAGAGTGTCTTTTACATGACCAAGTGGCACAATGTACTTGTCGCAGTGGTTACACGGGTAACCCACTGTCTCCAACTGGATGTCAAGATTTTAATGAGTGTGAAGAAAATCCCTGTGGATCTGGAGCTGTCTGCAAAAATTTACCCGGCCGTTTCTTATGTGAATGTCCTGGTGCTTTTAGTGGTGATCCTTACGTTGATGGTTGTATACCTAGCAAAATGTCAACACAGTGTAGTACAACTAATCCATGCCCACAAGGTGAACAGTGTGTGCTTCACGAAGGTGAACACGTCTGTATCTGTAACCAAGGATTCTCTAGGAGCAAAGACACCGCATTATGTGAAGATATCAATGAGTGTACTCAATATGGCCGGTCACCCTGTGGCCTTAACGCTATCTGCAAAAATTTACCTGGCAGTTATGAATGCAAGTGTCCTTTTGAATATAGTGGAAATCCCTACAACCTCTGTGAAGTTTGTGATGATATAAATTGTCAATGCCAACTGCCTTATAAGGTAGTGAATGGAAGCTGTGTTTTATCTGGTTGTACAGAAGATAAAAAATGCGGCAAAGGAGCCGAATGTATTGTTATTTCAGACGGTGTAAGTTACTGTGCTTGCCCATCTGGTTTCACTCAAACGTTAGATGGTGCCTGTGAAGATAAAGACGAATGTGCTTCTGGTCAACCAGTATGTGGTTTTGGTGCAGAGTGTATTAATACAGAAGGTTCTTATACATGTAAATGTCCGTCTGGTTACAGCCAGGATCCAACTTCTGGACATTGTGCGTTAAATCAAAAGAGGTGTATTAGCGATTCAGATTGTTTCCCTAATGAAAAGTGTATACAGCCCGGTCAATGCGTATGTCCTCCTCCATTTTATTTAGACGTTACTGATGGTCAGAAATGTAAAAGTCCCTGTGAGAGGTTTACTTGTGGAATCAATGCCATGTGCACGCCAAGTGACCCACCGCGATGTATGTGCATGTCTGGATATGAAGGAGATCCTTACACTGGCTGCACCAACAGAAATGAATGTCACAGCGCTCCATGTGCTTATGGTGCAATTTGTCATGACCGAAAAGGGGGATATCAATGTGTTTGCCCTCCAAAAATGACTGGAGACCCATATAAATCAGGCTGTAAGCAAATCGAAATATGTCGTATTATTTTTCGAATATAAATGAAAAAAATACATATTACTTATTATTAATTCATTTTGCAGGTTCCACCGAAGATGGTCCAACACAAAAGCAATTATGTAATTCCGATAACGAGTGTCCCAATACATTGGCATGTTTAAACCACGTATGTGTTTCACCTTGCATTAGCGTCATATGTGGACCTAACGCTTTCTGTGAAGTTGAAAATCATGCCGCTTGGTGTCGTTGTAATCCCGGTTATACCAAACCTGAAGGTGGCAAATGCATTTCAGGTGAGTTCATTTTAATATTCTTCCACTTCTTTAAAGAAAGGCGTAAAATTTTAATCAAAAATATATTTCAAAAAGATATAGTCAATTAGTTTATCTAACTTTAACATAAAAATATGAATATAATACGAGTATGTCATATATTCGCTGTAGATCTATAGATCGAAACATAGTCTAGCTTATAAAGCTAGTATGTAAAAATAAAAAAATAACTCTTAAAATCGCATTTCGTATCATTTTGGACTGTTCGTCGTCTGTCCTGTTCTAATATAAAACGATATAACGAAAATTGCTTTTTGAAGACTTGAAGAAATGTCCCTTGATATACCTAATAGATATAGTTAATAATTTCAAACTTAGTAATAGTTAAATTAGACTAGATTACTAAAGCTATTTTCTGGAAAAATATAATTGCTAATTTATTAAACCGATTAATTAATATGGCTATTGTTGGATAAGTATAAATTAAAAAAAGTGCATTAAAGAAAAAAACAACACTTAACTTTAGCGTTACTATAACACAACGTAGTTTCCAGTTATTGATTTTTATTTATTTAATTCTTTAGCTTTGCTAATTCAATTCAAATATTTTTATTTCGTATAACAATGAACTGCTTTCTCAGTTGGTTGGTTAATGGTTCAAAGCAACCAAGTAAGGTTATATCCTGGCATAGTATAAGATGCAGACTAAAATCTTACATCAGAAAATTTTTACCTTTTATTAAAAAATATATATTAATCGGCAATGCATCAATAATTTAAAAGTAATTCATTTAGTCCATTTACTAATATACTAAGTATGTTTAAGTTCTAGTTAATTAATTACAATTGTTTTTTTTAATAAGCAATTTCATTTGTTTCTTATACAGGTTGTGACACGTATTCCTGCGCTGCTGGAGCACAGTGCATAATATCAAAGTCTGGACCCACGTGTGTTTGTCATGAAGGTACAGTCGGTAATCCTTTTCCGGGTGGAGCGTGTAGACGAGATGTATGTGGATCTGGTGTACCATGCGAGGAACCATTAACTTGTGTTGCCGGAAGATGTAGGCAAAGGTGTGACGGCGTGGTGTGTGGAATTGGTGCATCTTGTAATCAAGAAACTGGAAGATGTGTTTGCAATGCGTTTTTTGTCGGCAATCCAGATTTGTTATGTATGCCACGTAAGTGAAATCTTTTAACAATATTTATGTTCATAGAATATGAATAGACGTATTATTAATAACCGATTTATTTTACAGCTGTAACCCCACCATTATGTGACCCAGGATGTGGAAAGAATGCGCATTGCATTTATGGACAAACGAATGCATGTAAATGTAATAAAGGATACACAGGAAACCCATATAAACAATGCCTTCCACGTAGACAAATAACTTGTGCCAAAACGTCCTGTGGTGTCAATGCAGTTTGCCAACAAACAAGGGCTCATGTGGAATGTTTATGTCCACCGGGATATATTGGAAATCCTAATATACAGTGCATTGATATTGATGAATGTAGTTCTAGACCTTGTGCTGAAAATGCTATCTGTATAAATACTCCAGGAAGCTTCAGCTGTGTGTGTAAAAGCAAATACGTTGGTAATCCATACGAGCTATGTTCACAAATTACTATTCCTAAGTGTTTGGAAGGTAGTATTTGTACGTGTTCTCATAATGCTACGTGTCCTGAGGGCTATGTTTGTGAAAAGTCGAAATGCGTAGACGTATGCCATACTATAATGTGTGGTCCTAAAGCAGTATGTGAGAACGGCAATTGTCAATGTATCCCTGGTCATGTTGGAAATCCTAACGATTTACAGAGAGGTTGTGTTTCAGACGATAAATGTATAGCAGATGGCGAGTGTAAAGATTCAGAAATATGCTTCCAGGTAGCTAAAAATATCCGTAAATGTGTAGATTCTTGTAGTAAGCTACAATGTGGTCCAAATTCTTTATGTATCGGCGCTAATCATCAAGCCCATTGCATTTGTGCAGAAGGTTATATTGGCAAACCCACTGATATTAAGATCGGATGTCACCTTAAACAAGCTGAACCAAGTGAAGCAGAATGTAATGATAATAACGATTGTAATGAACCACAAGTATGTGTATTAATAGAAGGATCTGTCAATAAATGTGTTGATTTATGCTCTACTATTGCTTGTAGTGCTAATGAAATTTGTCGAGTAATAGATAATAACGCACGATGTGACTGTAAAGATGGTTTTCTATGGAATCCTGTTACCTCGACTTGTGCACAGCCATCTACTCCTGATTGTGAAAATGATGAGGATTGTGAAGATAATAAATCTTGTCAATTAGATGTTCTTGGTGTGAAAAAGTGTGAAGATACCTGTCTGTTGTTTTCTTGTCCACAAAACTCTAAATGTGTTACGAAAAATCATAAAAGTCAATGCGAATGTTTGACTGGCTTTGCTGGAAATCCAAACAATCGAGATGGTTGTGTATTAATAAACAAAAATCAGTGTACTGATGACGTTCAGTGTAGGGAAAGTGAGATTTGTAAAACTGTCGGAAATTTAAAAAAATGTATACCAGCATGCCAACAGATAACGTGTGGCCCTAATGCGCTATGTGTTACTAATAACCATGTTGCCAAATGTCAATGTCCATCTGGTCCATTTACTGGAAACCCAAACGATCTGGAAAAAGGATGCCAATCAGTGCCTTGCATTTACAACGCGGACTGTCTCTCTAACGAACTATGTAATAGATTAACACATAGTTGCATGAATGTATGTAATGATAATTCGTGTGGTGACAACGCGGTATGTATTGGAGAGAATCACAAAGTTATATGTCAGTGTCCAAGTGGCTATAAAGCTGATCCAGTGCCAGAAGTAAACTGCAAAAAAATGGAACTGTGCAACCCCAATCCTTGTCATCCAACAGCTATATGTGAGCCACTACAGTCATCATATAGTTGTAAATGTCCACCAGGGTTAGTAGGAGATCCAGAACGAAGTGGCTGCAAAAAACAAGGCCAATGTGCCGATGCCAATCTGGATTGCCCAGCAGAAGCAGCTTGTGTTAAAGGGAGATGTGTTAATCCTTGCGAAGGTGCCTGTGGTCTTAATTCGTTGTGTAAAGTAGCTGACCGAAAACCAATTTGTATTTGCCCTGACGGATACGAAAGTATACAAGGGGGAAATGCTTGCAAGAAAAAGTTGCTGATGTGTAATACTGAAATTGACTGTGACGGAGACATTTGTTCGAATGGTCAGTGTTTCACAGCATGTAAAGACTCAAGTCAGTGTGATCTAGGTGACATCTGTATCAAAAATTTATGCAGTACTCAATGCAGTAAACACGCTCACTGTGGAATCGGTCAAGCTTGTGTGAGTGGTCAATGTTTAATTGGATGTAGAATTAATGAGGATTGCCGCAGTGATGAAGCCTGTGTAAATAATAAGTGTGTTAATCCCTGTCTAGCATCACGAATATGCGGCCCAAACGCTATATGTTCGAGAATAAATCATAGTACAAAGTGTGAATGTCCATTAGGATTCGAAGGTACGCCGACTCCTCAACAAGGTTGTGTGCGGAAACCAAATACGTGTATTCGAACATCAGAATGTCCCCCTGATCATATGTGCATTGGATATTTGTGTCAAGTACCCTGTCAATATAACTCAGACTGTGCGATTGGGGAAAAATGCAGTGATAACAAATGTCATAAAATTTGTCATTCAAGTAGTAACTGTTTGCATGGAGAACATTGTAGCTCAGGAATATGTATCGTTGGTTGTAAAGCAGATACAGATTGTCTGAATAATCAAGTTTGCACATCTTCTAAATGTCAGTGTTCTAAAGGATTTCAAAAGATCGGAGATGAATGCTTGAATGTTAATGAATGTGATAGTACTCCATGTCACCCTTCAGCACAATGTGTTGACGTTCCAGGATCATATAAATGCATTTGTCCTATAGGCGCTATCGGTGACGCTTACAAAACAGGCTGCTTATTACCGAATCAATGTCAAGATGATAATCAATGCGAAGAATTGCTTGCTTGTATACAAGGAAAATGCTCTAACCCTTGTCAAAGTAAAGTTTGTGGTCTAAATGCATTATGTACTACTAGTAAACATAAAATTACATGCACATGTGAGAAAGGTTATCTTGGTGATCCATTTGATAAAAATATAGGATGCTTCAAAGTAGAATGTGTTGATGACTCTGACTGTTCTAATGATAAGTACTGCAATCATCAGAACAACAAGTGTTCTGGTAAGTCTTATATTTTTTTATTATTAGTAAAGAATCTGAAAATAATTAAACATCTCGCTTTATTTTTTTTAATGAACAATTATAATATAATATTTTTAAATTATTATAAATAAATAAATATTACATACATTGCTCAGATTCCAAGATGAGTAGCTAAAGCCAACGACCGTACCACAACACGAGTGTTTGAGACAACGACCGTACCAAAACACCCAGACCCTAGACAATATAGAAAAGTTCATTTTCTACATTGATCGACCGGGAATCGAACCCGGAATCTCAGAGATGGCGACATCTTGAAACCGGCGTGCGAACCACTCGGCTACGTGTATTATTGGATGTGCTATTTTTTCTAGTATACTTATTAGAAATATTAAATTGATATATGTTTCCTTTCAGATAAGTGTGATGAATCAGTTTGTCTAGGTGGCATTTGCACTATCGAAAACCATAAATCACTATGCACATGTCCTCCAGGCTATAATTTAATTAATAACGTATGTGAAGATATAAACGAGTGCTTGAATAATCCATGCCCCCTTAATGCTAACTGTGTAAATACACCGGGCTTATACATTTGCAGTTGTGTAAATGGCACTATTTTGGATAATACGAGTGATAATTGTAGAACACCTGGAGATTGCATTTCGGACAACGAATGTTCGGATAAAACAAAATGTGATAAAAACCATTGCATAAATCCTTGTGAAAAAGAATCTCCATGTGGGGAGGGTGCTGAATGTGTGGTTATAAAGCATCGCCCATCATGTGAATGTTTACCAGATAGTCAGGGAGACCCATATAAAAAATGTGTGAAATTTGAGTGCACGAAAGATATCGATTGTCCAACGGAAGAAGCTTGTGTCAATTACAAATGTAAAAATTCATGCAGCATACCTCGAGCATGTGGAAAAAATGCTAATTGTTTTTCTAGAAATCATATCGGTCATTGTTCCTGTTCACCTGGGTACACAGGAGATCCAGTATTAGGGTGTGTTCCTCTTCAAGTATGCACGGATGATAGAAGATGTCCCTCAGGAACTAGATGTATTGACAATTTTTGTGTTGGTAAGTTACTCGTATATTAAAAAACACAAAGTTACAATTTCACCTTTGAAGGAGTGCAAAATGAGACGATACATTTTAACACTTATTGTATTGTATTACAGGACTATGCAAAAACACAAGAGACTGTCTCAGTGACCAAGTTTGTGTTCAAGGCACATGTCGCTTAACATGTGACTCTAACAGTACTTGTCCACAATCTCAGTTTTGTTTAAATCGTATCTGCATAAAAGAATTGCACTGTGTGTCGGACAGCGACTGCGCTGATAATGAAAAGTGTACAATGGGTAGAAACGGTATTCCAAAATGTATAAATGTATGTAAGAAACTTCCTTGTGGAAGACAAGCTTCTTGTATTGGAAAGAATCACCAGCCTGTATGTGAATGTCGTCAAGGTTTCTTTGGTGATCCTTTACAAGGTTGTAAAAGAAAACAGTGTGATGTTGATACAGATTGTTCAGATGACAAGCTATGTGATAAAAATATGTGTAAAATTGCATGTTTAGTGGCAAATGATTGTGCTGATAACACCATTTGTTCATCTGAAAAACATAAACATGTATGTTATTGTCAACCTGGTTATACGGGTGATCCTTTCGTCGGATGTAAACCAATAGATTGGTGTGAATCAAAACCTTGTGGTGACGGTGCTGAATGTAAAAATTCTAGAGATCGAGCACAATGTTTTTGTCCAGACGGCTTTGTAGGTAACCCTTATGAAGAAGGATGTCATAAAGCACAAGAATGCAGATTAAACCGTGATTGTCCTGCAGTCGCTCGTTGTACGGTAGTCGGTGGTGTTAGAAAATGCACAGGTATCTTCATTATTAATGGAAAGGCGATAATGCCAATTTTTCTGTAAATTATCATATCATAAGTATTTTTTTTCCAGATGCGTGTGAAAATATGACATGTGTTGCTAATGCTGAATGTGTGGCTACACGGCATATAGGAAAATGCCAATGTAGAGTTGGATATGTAGGAAATGCTTTAGGTGAAAATGACTGTCGTCTTCAAGAAATATCATGTACAAAAAAAGCCGATTGTCCTGGAGAGCAATATTGTCATAAAGGTGTATGTAAAGGTATGTTCTGTAAAATATTTTCATAGTTTTTTTTTTGTATGAGTCAAAAACTGTTTTAGTTTATTAATTGCTCATTATTTAAGGGCTATGTCTTTTGGATGAAGAATGCGAGTCTACAGAGAAATGTTTCAATGGACAATGTCTAGATCCTTGTCAAACAGAAAAAGTATGCGGCTTAAACGCACAATGTCGTGCTGAAAATCATATAATACAATGCAGTTGCCCTTATGGATTTACCGGCAATCAAGATATTGAATGTGTTCGAAGTAAGCAGTTGAAATTATATAAAAATATTGTTACTCTAAAAATTATTAGATGATTTTGATTTTTTTAACACATGCTATTGAGTGCTCAAATAATTGTTAATTTTTTTGCATTAATGTTAAGACGTATGTAGATTTAATGTATAAAAATAACATTATTACAGTGCCCAGAATATGCGGGGGAGCTGGTGAATGTGAAAACGGTTTTTCGTGCCAAGATTCCATGTGCTTACCTATATGTAAAACTGACGAAGAATGTGCTTTGAATGAAAGATGTTCAAGCGGAGTTTGTTTGCGTAAGTGCGCACATGTCCTTATAATAATTTCTATTTTTGTGTATTCAAGCTAATCACGATAAGTTTTGCTTACAGTTACGTGCAGGGTAGATAATGACTGTTTTCTTGGACACATTTGTTTGGAAAATAGTTGTCAATATGGTTGCAGACACAATGAAGATTGTGGGCCAGATGAATTTTGTAATAATAATTATTGTGAAAATCCATGCGGTGCTGATATTAATCCATGTGGGCCCAACACTGTTTGTACAGTTTTACAGCGAAAAGCTGTTTGTTCCTGTCTTGAAAATTTAATACCGAATCCGACGCCAAATATTGGATGTGTAAGAGCCCCATCTCCCGTGTGCCGCAAGCACACTGATTGTGGTAACGGTTGGAGATGTGAAGACGATCGTTGTAGATCCGCTTGTACTCTTGGAGTATCTGAATGTTTAGAAGGAGAAAGATGTGATTCAGGAGTATGCCGTTATGCTTGTACTGCCGATGAACATTGCTCTGATGACGAAATATGCAATGGAAGGTTATGTGTTACTGGATGCAGGTCGAATTTTCATTGTGCTAAAAACCTTTCATGTATTTCTGGCCAATGTGCAAATCCATGTACAGAGCCCGCTACATGTGGTGCCAACGCTTTATGTATAGTGAAAGATCATCAGCCTATATGTGAATGTCCATCATCTTTAGTAGGTGATGCGAAATCAGTTTGCCGAAGAGTACCTTTGCCTTGTGACACAAATAAAAATTGCCCAGATGGTTTTAACTGTTATGGAGATACATGTCATCCATCTTGTAGAAAGTAAATACATATAAATTTTAATTCTAATGTTATCCTTTAATTAAGTTATATTTATAGTAACTATGGTCTTTTGCCTTGCAGTGATGTTGTCTGTTTATCTAACGAAAAATGCATTCGAGGAATATGTAGAGTAGTTTGTAATAGTGATGATGCATGTAGCCAAGGATATATATGCGAGAATAGAATATGCAAACAAGGTTGTCGTGATGATAATGCATGCGATTTAAATCAGTCTTGTATACTTGGTCAATGCAAAGGTAAGCTAAAATTATGTTAAAATTTAAAAACAAAATGTTAATAATGCATTATTATAAATTAATAAATATTTGTCTTTACATTTTTACAGATCCTTGTAAAGAAGGCAAGGTTTGTGGTATATGTTCTGATTGTAAAGTACTAAACCATAGAGCTCAATGTAGTTGCTCAAATAATTATACAGGTAATGCACTTGTAGAGTGCAAAAGAAAAACTCAAATATGTGACGGATTTTGTCCCTGTGATGAAAGTGGGTATTGTATTTCGTTATGTGATGATAATAGAGATTGTTCCTGTGGCGAGAAATGCTATAACGGTGGCTGTAGGTTAATATGCTCCCCAAGACATAAATGCCCTGAAAGGCAATTATGTGTTAGAGGGGCATGTGTACCGGGCTGCAATAGCGATAGAGATTGTGGAGAGGAAATGTTGTGTTCATCAAAACTTTGTATTGCTGCTTGTCAAAAAAATTCGTGTGGTAAAGACGCTCATTGCCTAGCTACCAGACATAGAGCAGTATGTAGTTGTCCTAGTGGATTTTCTGGAGATCCTTTGAAAGAATGTAAATCATACGAGTGCCTTAAAAATGAAGATTGCAACCCTGATGAAGATTGTCACGATGACGGAATATGTAGAAATGTATGTTCAGGAGCTTGTGGTATAAACGCCATCTGTCGACCAATAAATAGAGTGGCTCAATGTTCATGTCCTCCTAACTATATTGGAAATCCAAAAATCGAATGTGCTAAGCCACCTGCTGGGAGCTGTTTGCGTAATCCATGTGGCATAAATAGCAGATGTAGAGATTTCGATGATGGCAGTTACGAATGTACGTGTCCCCCAGGTTGCGCAGGTAACCCTCAAAAACAATGTTTTTGTGGAGTTATGGAACCTTGCGCTTATAAATCTTGTGGAACAAATGCACACTGTCGCATTGGGAAGAATGGGGAAGCACAGTGCTATTGCCCACGTAATTATCCTAATGGAGACCCTAATATAGAATGTAAGTAACAGTATTCGGTTAACGAAACTAATTATTTATTCTAAGTTTAGGTTTGGATAGTACTAATTATCGACTATTATAGGTATATTTTTGAAACAGTTATAATATTTAAAATTATTACAATTCTTCATAGGTGCCCTAGAGCGTAGCGTGATAGACTGCCGAACAACGGGTTGTGGCATAAATGGCGAATGTTTAAGAGAAGGTGGTGAATTTGTATGTCGTTGCATACCTGGGACGGAAGGACAGGCAGATATCGAGTGTCATACTAGTGAGTATGTTTATATATTTGACAGGGCTTTTGAATTTTATTTTGACACCATGTAAAAATGCACTCTAGATATGTAAAATCATTACTTCATTTCATTGTAGGGAGTACAGATGATTTGAAGATGTTCATTTTGAAATGTATATAAATAAAAATATACGTACACTATTATTAATTAAGATCCGCCACATGATCTTTGTAGTTTGTTTAAACTGGAAAGTAGTAATTCACTATACTGTAAAATATAATTTAATACCATAACTAGCACTTGTGGTAATGTAAACTATTTAAGAACAAATATATTTTTTACTGAAACGAATTTGAAACTGTCCTTAACTATGTATTTGTTGACATTAGTGGAAGCATTCTCACCGTTCGTGCTTGAGTATATCAAACAGTCAGTAACAATTTGTTCGGCTTCATGTACATATCGCTTGTATTTTATTTCGTTGTATACATACATATATCTGATCATAAACTATCAGTTTCAAAAAGCATGCACTGTCTCGTGAGAAAGTTTCCTCTTCGCGGCTGAAGGTACAGCTCTTTCGACTCTGCTTTCTTCTTTCACATCTTCTTAGGTGTCGAATGCACGAGCGACAAGCACTGCCCCGTAGACAGAGCGTGTCTCAGTTTGCACTGCGTGGATCCATGCACAGTACGCGGTGCGTGCGGAGAAGACGCACTATGTGCTCCTCTTATGCACCAAGCCCAGTGTTCGTGCCCGCAGTGTTACATTGGACAACCTCGGATCGCCTGTCGCCTCGACCCTACTTGTAAACCAACCAGAGACTTGAACTCGACCTTCACATGCTCAGATACTAAGCCATGTCCCTCGAAATTGGCATGTGATCTAGCCACTAATCAATGTCGTAATCCATGCCTGGGTTATCAAAATTGTAGACGAAATCAAAAATGTGAAGTTAGAAACCATAAACCTTTATGTGTATGTCGAAATGGATTTGCATTAAACGAGAGAGGAGAATTGACATGTGCACCAGAACACGCTGAATGTACAACAGATGATCAATGCCCATCTAATGCGGCATGTCGTAATTCCAAGTGTGTGAATCCGTGTTTAGCCACTAGTGAACCAATATGTCCCGAAGGCAAACAGTGTGAAGTGCAAGAGCATCGCGCTTTGTGCATTTGCGTGGAAGATTGTCAGCCGACTTTGTCGATATGCCTTCGAGATAAAGGATGTCCAAATAACTTGGCATGTATAGATTTTGAATGCAAAGATCCTTGTAAAAATGCTTGTGGTGGTGCTCCATGTACAGTAGAAGATCACCACCCAGTATGCAAGTTCTGTCCTAATGGATTCACACACGATGAAAGACGAGGCTGCATTAAAGGTAATTTCTACAGAGAGTAGAATCAAATATGTAATATGTGCCACCTAGTATATTTAGCGATTTATAAGATCTTAATAATCTGTATTATTGTTCTTCTTATTACAGGAAATATGTTGATAGTTCCTACCTACTTCACAATTTCATCTGTTCTTTCGCTGTTTTCTTTTCTTTTGTTTTAGCATGTTCTTTTCAGTTTCCTTCCACAGTTAAAACTTCTTCTGTAGCAGGTAGTTTTCTAGCATGATTTTATTTTTCAAACCACAATGTAAATACGTGCATTGTACCATTATAAAAATAAATATCACTTTCTAATGGGTGTTGGTTGCTTGAATTTACGTACATTAAAGCTTATATGGTATCAGCACTAACTAAAAATGCAACAAAACTGCCACGAGACAGAATTTGCAGAATATTAGTAGAATGCTTACTGACTGCAATGTTTGATGATAATCTAATTATGTGTGATTTTGTGTTAATTATGTTATTTCGTGATGCGGTAGAATTAATAATTATATTTATTTATATAATATGTAAGTATGATATATTTAGTTCAGTAATGTTAAGATACAATAGTGGCACTTTATATTAAGTTTACTACGGTTTATAATATGCAACACCGTATTGTATCTGTTTACTAAGTGAGATAAGCATGCCAAAATTTTTAAACGAGTTTGATAAATTACCTACTCACTGTGAAATAATCATCAATAGAAAAATGTCGTATCAATAATTTAAAAACACTCGATTGTTTTTATAAGCATGATTGTGACGGACCTCATTTTCTCTTGGAGTTCTCAAATTTATTTCAATTTAAAAGCTCTATAAATTAAACCGTATAATTGATTGTTAAGTTGCTCAATTGTATGGATGGTTGTACAGCCGAGGGATGTGAAGCTCACGAGCAGTGCGCGGTGGGATTGGCGTGTATAGAGGGTCGATGTGGCGATCCTTGTGCTCGGGGAGGACCTTGTGCGCCGGGTCAGCACTGCACGGTTACTGATCATCAACCGGTCTGTTCAAAAGGTGAGAATGCCTTGTATTTTAAAAAAGAATATAAACTTTTTTAGTTTCATACCAACTATTATGGTAACTGCGGCAATTAAAATCCGCTCTATAATAAGGCCTAAGGTTCGAACAGGAAATTTTAAAGGTGGGCCCATTACAATGCTCACTTAATTGCCGCAGGTACTAACCTTAAAGGTTAAATTACCTTAGGTGCTCGGAATAGGAATCTTTGGAATATCAATCAATCAGCGAAAGGTTAAGAATTCAGGTCCTGATCCAAACATCTGAGGTGGCATAATCTCGTATCTTTACTTCCTACGGAATACGGATAAAACCTACCTTTAATTTATATATAATTTCTTTCGATTGTATTGACTGTATATAATTTCATTTTTATAATTTTATCTAGTATGCCAGTGTCAAACAGCAGCTGATTGTGCAAGTTATCCTAATACTTACTGCGACGGTTGCAACTGTAAACCAGGTAAATAATTAATAGTATATATGTATGGAAGTATAGGTTTATGTGTTGTTATGTTTATTTTGCTCATATATGTTTATTGTAACTGTTTGTTCCTAAATAAAATAAAAAATTAAACATTAATCAATAATGTGAAGTAGGTATATTATAAACAACATCACAGACATTGCTCAAATACTAAATTAACTAACTTTTAGCACTCAGACTAAAGAAAATATAGAGAGGTTCATTTTTTGTAATCGAATCGAACCCGTCTTGGGTATCACACAGCTTGAAACCTGTTTACTAGCCACTTGGCTTCGGAGGTCATCAAGATTCAGAAAGTTCAGAAGTTCAATTGACGAACACTTTTTCGGAGTCAAATGGATATACTTCAAAAATGTTTCTCAAATTTGTTAAATCCTTTTTAGTAATCGTTTCTATATTTATTTAGATTAGAAATTCATTTATATATCTTTTTATGTTAAACTATGATTTTACACTATCAATATTTTTCAGGTGGTCAACCGGTTGCCAACTGTGCTCATTGTCGACCTGGCGTTCCTTGTGATCCATTCTCCGGTGCTTGCATGGAAAGTAAGTGATACTCAATATGTCACATAAGGTACACATGTATAACTATTAATATTTACAAAGTTTAACATAGGTAATATCATGTTGCCTTTTGTGATTTCGCTAACTGTATAGATTGTTATTATTTTACATTTCTATACAGAAATTAATTACTATATATTAATATATTACCGTTTTCATATAATTTAAATATCGTGGACTTCTACTATAATACTAGAAAGTCTACGGCTATTATTACTAACTCCTGATGAACTGGTTGATATTATAATTTTGGCATAACATTTGTCCGATAAAACGCCACCTAGTACTGGCAAACGATGACTCGGCAGACCCGGCAGGCAAGTTATTTTATATTTCTTTTCTTGACGCACTTTTGGACGTAGATGTGCGAAACGTAGAACACTTCTAGAGCTATTAGAATAGAGCTTTTTATATTTATTATTCTTATTACGTATTTAGAGTTATGAAACCTCAATTTTTAATAATCATCAGATATTGAAAAATATGTTCTACTTCATGTAATAGAAATAATTGTCTTATGTTTTCTAAATTAATGATTTAGTGATAATTCTAAATACGTCAGCTTCAATATATGTATTTTCTTCAGTATATTTTATTTGGCACTTATATACTATGAACTTAAGTATATCCAGATACTTTTTGATCATACCACAACATCCATATCGCTTTATACTCATATTATTTCATTTACACATTTACAACTTATGACTTCTGAACTAATTGCAAATATGAATTAATTTAATATACTTGCGATAAATTATTAACGATTTGTTATTCCATTCCTATTAACAGATGATCGCCCTAAAACTGTCCCACTAACTGAAACATACTCCGATATTACCACAACTACAATGGAACCTGAAACTGATGTTACGTTTGATATAAAAACATATGAATTCGATACTGCTAATCCTACAACTATAGATGAGCTTCCAACGACTGTTTCTTTAACTAGGATAGGTGTGACAGAATCTATTAGTGAAACAATCAATCCCAATAAAATATTCTCGAAAACAACAACAGTTTCTAGTTATACAGACACTACTACATTATCGACCCCAACTGAACACGGAGAAAAATCTTTTACAATACCATCTGTAACACAAATGTCTACATATACAAACAATTATACAAATTTAGACTCAACTGAAAATAAATACATAGCATTTAATAATCCAACGAGCACAGATTCAAATGATATTCAACATGCCTCAGAAAAATATAACGATGATAGTATGACAACAATTACTAATGAAGGAATAACATATACAACAATACCATATACAATAGCTACACCTTCTCATGAAAACATTAGTAATGAAATTAATTCTGCAATTGAATCAGACGAATTAATCCATAGTAGCAGTACCCTTCATGTAGAAAGTACTATTAAACCTTTTATTACAAGGCGTCCAGAAGTAAATGAAACATTATCAATGAATGAAAATAAAAATACAAAAACTCCAGAAAATCAACGACAGTTAAATAATTTTACCAATGTGAATGTGTATGTAACATCGAAAGCCAATATCTCAACTACACCCAAACTGGTGACAATTACTAATATCACTAGAACTACCATAACTACAGAAAAGAGTATTTCTAATATTGATGATGTTGCCTTCGTGAAACATTCGTTAACAACGACATATACTGACAAAGAGGCTTATGACACAGATGGCACTTCTACTAGTTATACTGAAGCTGTTCCAAACGACATTAAATTATCATCTGGTAAAGAAGCAAACGCCAGGGAAAGCTCTGCTCTATCTCCTTCGACGCAGGAGTTATCGGATCATTACGATACTACAGAGTCCCTACGTCACAGTACCTTTAATATAAAAGATGATGTTTTGTTTTCAACAGGTACTAACAATAATGATGTTACTGATATTGATAAATCCAATCAAGATTTCAGCACCATCTCCAGTAGGGATGATTTAGAAACAACCCTTTCTTTGAATACAGATTTCGGAAATTCAGGAAATAATAATGACATGAATGATTATTTAAAAATTACAACCGAAGTTAGCAAATTATCGACAGTAGAAACAAGTGATGTCAGAACTACAGGACAAGCAACATACAATTTAAAAAATTTTGATAAATTGTTTACTGATTCGGATAAATATTCAACATTACTAATGGATCCTTCTGAATTTGATATAAATACACAAGCAGTAAGTGTTACGAGTACTTTCATTGAACCAACAACCGAAAATATCGTAAAATTTGCGGATTCTAATTTGAATTATCAAACGACTACTATAAAATATAATAAGTTAGAGCAAGTTACTAAGTATGATGAAGATAACTATTTGAGTATTACGCCCGATGTTACAATAATTACTGATGATTCTGATTTCGGTACAACAGACAGTACGACATTAACTACCGATTATAGAGGAAGAGAAACAACAAATTTTATAGACATTCTGGACAAAAATACAAAAGTTACAAATAAGACACCTTTACACTCAGACATTGATGAAATGAAATCAACTACTGGATTTATTACAGAATCAGAAAATTTTGAACTGAAAACCGGGACAATAAGTAATTCAAAACAATATACAACAATCGATTTTTCGACTGACAGCAAATATTTATTAAATACCATTTCAGGTGATGACTCTAAATATACTACTCAAATATTTGACTTGACCGATGAACAGAATACTCAAAAGTTAGATCATAGTACAATAGAAAATGACAAAAATAAACCTACTGAAACTTATTTCAGTAGCGATAGTGATATATATACGTTACCAGTAACTCAAAATACTATATCACAGTCGACAAATACACAATTTACTGAAAATTACATTATTAGTACCGATATCGAAAAAACTACTGATGATTTAACTAATAACTCCACATCGACAATGAATGAAACTTATTTTACTACCATAAAATCTACTGTGTATTTTAATAATAATTTAGCTGGAACAACTCAGAAAGAACCAGATCATATAGCTACGATAATACCTTTGAAACTGGATAAAAATGTTTCAAATTTAATTACCGAAAATATTGATAGTACCACAAACCATTTATTGTTAGATGAAAGTTATGATACTGAGACTACCGTTAGGTCTGGTAATAATAATAACCCAAGTAATAAATTAGGAATCATAGACAATACAATCAAGTCTTATTCGACAAAAGTAACAAGTAAATATAATACTACAACAACTGCTGATGTTGAAACTAAAACAACTTTGCCAGACTATTTAGAAAACTTTTCTACCACTACTGGTAGCGATAATAAAATAGTATTTACTGAAACGGTAGTAACTACTAGCATACCAGCACAAGATATATCTTTATTGAGTACTCAGAATGAAAGCAACCGAATATTCTCGGAAAAGCTTAGTACTTTTGGCGGGTACGAGGAGACAACAAGTCGTACAAATGAGTACAGTACAACAGATTCCAACTCGATGACCTTACGAACAGAAACTCATTCAATAGCAATAAAAAATAGTGACAGTACTACCAAAAATCCATTAGTTGTGGAAACATCGCCAATGGATGTAAATCTAGATCAGAATATAAATACTGTTAGTAATTATGAATACGATCAGAGTACGATTCCTTTTATTACAGAAATAGATGAACGTTATCAAAACAAGTATACTACCGAGAAAAAATACATCCAATTGACTACTTCTACAACGAATTCTGATGATGATAATAGTTTAAAAACAATAACATATCCTTCAACATTTAAGAAAGAAAATAAACATACAAATGACGATGATAACTTTGCAAGTACGACAGAGTATGCCAATACTTATACATTAAATTCGGATTCTAAAATAACAATGTCGAACTATAATAATCCAATGAGTTCTGATCTTTTAAGCACACTAAAAGATATAACTAGTGTTGATTCAATATCTGAAATCAAACAAATGACAAAAAAGCCATATGAATTTTATACTTCGGATCAGCCAACTAAACCAACTGACATTTTCATTGAAACTACGGTAAAAATGAATACTATGATTGATACTGGCGCAAAATCATCACTAATTACCACAACAAGTCAAAGCACTACTTCCAAATTAGAACTTTTAAGGTCAACCATTGAGTCAAGTATTATCTCTGATAATGTTAGTGATTTAAAAACCACAGAGGCTGCAGAAAGTGAAATCACTACAAATTTAAGTGGAACAACTTTCACCACTATCGAAGAACATAAAACAGAATTGTTACCAACAACTACATCTACAAGCCTTATTGACGATCCAATAACTAAAGAACAGTACTTTGCGAAAGATGTAATACCAACAGTAGAAATTAATACAGTGAAGGAGATAGAGTCAACACATATAATTGGCACAAACGGATATTTAAATTTGAATGAGAGCAACATCTTTACTTCGCCGTCTTTTGATTCTACAATTATAACGAAAACAGATAAACACTATGATAACGACACAGATAATAAATTTACAACTGAGTTCATATTAAAAAATAATATTTATCTGAATACTGAACAAAATAATATTAATTTGGCTTCTACTACCCCTATTGAAACAACGTCTACTGAAACTCTAACTAAAACTAGTAATTCTATAAGGACACTAAACTCCTCTGCAACTATTCCTAATATTAGCACTTCAACTGAAAACTTAGCATCTCGTAGTAAAGACGTTGACATTTCTGCTTGGACTGATTCTACCCCTATTCTCGACTCGACTTCTACAGACAATAGTCACAACATTGACTCATTTAGAAAGTGTAAAACAAATTCTCAATGTCCAATGGATAAAGTCTGCTTAAGTGGAGTATGCCAGAATCCGTGTGAAGTGATGCCCAGTGTATGCACACTGAACACTGCCTGTAAAGTAGTCAACCATGCTGCTGTATGTGTTTGCAATGAGGAAGCTGGGGACTTCTGTTTACGAGGTATGCATTTTTGAAATATAATACATAAAAGTATATTTAGGCATACCATTTAAAAAAAATGTCGATAGTCTTGTTTCATTATATGTAATCTCAAAAAGTGGTAGTTTTATCGGACAAATGTATAATTAAACTGTATAATAAAATTTTGATGTAAATACACCATCTTAACATGTAATATAACGGACTAATGAAATAACATTAACATAGAATCACCTGGGACACCTAAGGCACCAGAACCTTGTCAATCTGATCGGGACTGTATAGAAACTGAAGCCTGTTTTATGGGATTGTGTCAAAATCCTTGTGAGTTTAATGTATGTGGTATTGGAGCTAATTGTCAGCCCGTACTGCAAAGACCTATGTGTTCATGTCCCGCTGGACACGATGGAGATCCGGCTGTTAAATGTTCACCTAAAAAAAGTAAGCCAATACTAATATTAAGGTAATTAAACTAAATTAACGTGTTAATTCAACTAGCAATTCATTGAAACAATATTAACAGAGATGTTTTTAATCGATTAATTTAATTGGTAATGGATTTGTGTAAATGTGTATAGATATGAAAGACCACGTTGAAAATCACAAAAATGTTTATAGTAGGATATTTACACATAACTTGTGTTTTGTTCAGTTGGTTGCTCTCACAACGAAGACTGTCAACTGACTGAAGCTTGTATAAATAATGCATGTCAGCACCCATGTGCTATACACAATCCTTGCGCACAAAATGCTGTATGTATAAACACAAATCATGGTTCGGACTGTAAATGTGCAGAAGGATATCAAGGAAACGGATACGTAGGCTGCGTGCCAGGTAAGCAACAATGATAATTGATATATGATTTTAAAAATAACAGTATGCCTAATAGTTATTTTGTTTTAGTAAAAGAACATAAATCTGTATGTCAATATAATGAAGACTGTCCTCCGGAACTTCTTTGTGATAGATTAAACAGAGTGTGTATTAGTCCATGTACTGCTAATAAATGTGGAGACAATGCAGAATGTATTCCATTAAATCATGGCATCCAATGCGAGTGTCATCCTGGATATACGGGAAATCCTTTCCTTGAGTGCTATCAAGGTATATTTTAATATAAAAATATTAAAATCTATATTTATGATAATGTGACAAATTATGTACCCAATTGAAATCATCTTGTTTATTTAGTTCAAGGTTGCCGTTCGGATAATGAATGTGCAAATTCGGAGGCATGTATAAACAACCAATGTGGTTCCCCATGTCGATGCGGTGTGAATGCAGTTTGCGACGTGATAAACCACAGAGCATCATGCAAATGCGCACCGGGTTATACCGGAAATCCTACCTTTGGCTGTGAACCACCAACAAATCCTTGTAATCCAAACCCTTGTGGTGTTCATGCTTTATGTGAAGTTGACAATGGTAACCCAATCTGCTTCTGCCCTAAAGGATTAACGGGGAACCCATTTGTAAATTGCAGTAAGTATAATATATATTATATGCCTATCTATTTCATGGCATTCAATTTATTCCATTGCAGTTGTAATCTTTATTGTTTACTTGTTTTAGTACCAGAAGGAAATGAATGTGAACCAAATCCATGTGGTCCATTTTCCGGATGTCGATTAATAGGAGATAAGCCAGCCTGTTTCTGTCTACCAAATTATGAAGGAAATCCCCCAACTCAGCCTTGCAGACTGCCTACTAATCCATGTAGTCCATCACCTTGTGGTCCTAACACACAATGTAGTGTTTTATCAAATGGATTCGCAAAATGTACATGTTTAGAGGGCTATATTGAGAGTCCAAATACAGTTCGGGGTTGTGTGGAAGCACGAAATCCTTGTGAACCCAATACATGTGGTATTGGAGCACGATGTGACCCTAATAGAATTCCAGCCTGCTATTGCCCAGACAACTCCGTTGGAAATCCTTATGTTTCCTGTAATCGTGGTTATCTACCGCCTGCGGTATTATGTGATCCCGGACCTTGTGGTATAAACGCGGATTGTTATGTCAGCAGTAATACAGAGATGTGTTTCTGTAAAACAGGATTTGTGGGCAATCCTTACACAGGATGCCAACCACAAAGAAGCCCTTGTGTTCCAGATCCTTGTGGACCTCAGGCAATTTGCGATGATAAAGATGGATTAGCTGTGTGTACATGCAGTCATGGAACCTCTGGTGATCCCTATGGTATCCAAGGTTGCCATTCCCATGAATGTGACTTTGATAATGAATGTAGTCCTAATAAAGCATGCATCGGTTATACATGTCGAGATCCTTGTCCGGGAGCGTGTGGCCTTAACGCTAAATGTTTTATAGAAAATCATCGCCCAGTATGTGAATGTGAAAAGGGTCTTATAGGAAATCCTTTAATATGTTGTTTGCCTCCAGAAGATCAGAAATCAATAGGCCTTTGCAATAAAGTAAAATGTGGTATAAATGCAATTTGCCAAATAGTGGGAGACAAGGCTCAATGTTCGTGTCTTCCAGACTTTTTTGGTAATCCTAATGTAGAATGTAAAACAGAATGCCTCATGAATTCTGATTGTGGTTCAAACGAGGTATGCATAAATAACAAATGCCAAGACCCATGCACTTTTAAAAGTGTTTGTGGAATAAACGCCATCTGTATATGTTCTGAACATACAGTATCATGTCTGTGCCCAGAAGGATATATAGGTGATCCAATGACTCAATGCATATATCGACGTAAGTGATATTAATAAATTTTAAAAACATTATTTACCATTATAATATTAGAATTGATGAAAGAATAATTTAATTTTTTTTTTGTAATTTATTTATTTTCAGCTATTATTATCACGCCAGATAATACAACTTCTCAACCATGTTCATCAAATCCATGCGATCCAAAATTGCCATGTGATACATATGGAAATCAATTTGCTATCTGTGATCCATGTGTTGGCTCTAATGCTGTTAACAATCCAAGTTGCAGACCTGAATGCGTGCTCAGTTCCGACTGTGCATTCAATAAAGCTTGTTTAGGAAATAAATGTACTGACCCATGTCCAGGATCATGTGGTATTAACGCTGACTGTGTAGTTCACCATCATGATCCTATCTGCTTATGTAGAAGCGGATTCGAAGGAAATCCATATGAACTTTGTAAACCAACCACGAGACGTAAGTATTAAAAATACTAATGGTTTAGTTTAACATGTATTTCAATAAATGTAATATAATTTTAAAACTGCTTTGTTTACTTTTCTAGCTGTTGAAAGAGAACATTGTGAGAATGTCCGCTGCGGAGATAATGCTATATGCAAAGATTTAAATGGCGCTCTGTCATGTGAATGTCTCCCAAATTTCTTTGGAAATCCATATTTGTCATGTAGACCAGAATGTGTCGTTAATAGTGACTGTCCTCTAAATTTGGCATGTCTAAGTAATAAATGTGAAGATCCTTGTCTGAATGTATGCGGCATTGGCGCTCTTTGTGAAACAGTAAACCATCACGCTGTTTGTTATTGTAAGCCTGGTACTACTGGTGATCCATACCTAAGATGTCAAAGTACGCCAATTACACCACCCACATTGACAACTTGTGACCCATCACCATGTGGTCCTTATAGTCGATGTCTTGTATCATCATCTGGATTCGCTGTATGTTCCTGTTTACCAGGTCACAGAGGTGTTGCACCCATGTGTCAACCGGAATGTGTTAGTAATTCTGATTGTCAACAAACTGAGATATGTGTGAATCAAAAATGCTCTAATCCTTGTCAAGGAACTTGTGGCGTCAACGCTGAGTGTATTACAATTAATCATAATCCAGTATGTACTTGTAGCCCAGCTAAAACAGGTGATCCTTTTGTAGCATGTGTTGACATTATTATAAACAATATACCAATAGAGAAAAATCCATGTGTTCCTTCGCCATGTGGGCCAAACTCAGTATGCGAAATAAAATCAAATCGGCCCGTCTGCTCATGTCGTCCGAATTATTCTGGTACACCACCATCCTGTAGACCAGAATGTGTGATAAGTCAAGAATGTCCATCACATCAAGCCTGCATTAACGACAAATGTGTAGATCCATGTGCGGGTGCCTGTGGTAATAATGCTATTTGCAATGTAATCAATCATACACCACTTTGCAGCTGTTTGGAAGGTTATAAGGGTGACGCATTCATCGGTTGTGTTATATCAAAAACTGAGACTTCTAGTCCATGCAATCCGTCCCCTTGTGGGGAAAATACAATCTGCACAGTCACTAATAATGTGGCACGTTGTACATGTATCCCACCCAATCTAGGAAATCCTTATGCGGGTGGTTGTAGACCAGAATGCAGCATAAATTCTGACTGCCCCAATCACCTTGCTTGCTTAGCAAATCACTGCCGAGATCCATGCAAGGATTTATGTGGCGTAAATTCTGAGTGTACTGTTACTAATCACGTTCCTGTTTGTACGTGCTTTAAAGGATTTGAGGGAAATCCATTCTCCTCGTGTCGCGAAGTCTTCAAAACACGTGAGTATTCTTTCTATCTTATTTTCTACTCTAACAAATAGCAAATAGTACTAATTATTTTTAAGCTCGCTTGAAGAAATAGTTAACGAAGTGCTTTGAGCGAGTACCTTTATCATCATGTATCGATTTATTATTAGGAACCGATTGTTAATCTATAAATATTATAATATGACAACTTTTATAAATATTGTTATTTTTCAGCAACTCCATTTAATCCTTGTGAACCATCACCATGTGGGCCAAACAGCGATTGTCACATAGTAAGCGAACGAGCTGCATGCGTCTGTCGTCCTGGATTCCTTGGAGTTCCTCCTGCTTGCCGTCCAGAATGTGCTGTTAATTCTGATTGTCCGACGAATAAAGCCTGTATTAATCTAAAATGCAAAGATCCATGTATAAACAGCTGTGGTTTAGATGCAAGATGTCATGTCGTCGGCCACAATCCAATTTGCACCTGCCCTGAAAACCTTCCTGAAGGAGATCCGTTTATAAAATGTTTCCGAAAGGGTGAGTACATTTTCTAATCTGTTTCTTGTCTCAATTCGACTGTATATTTTTTGTTACCTCATAACCTTTCGAACTGAACGAAAGCTGGTGTTCGTTAAGTAGAGTAATTTATATGTGAGCGAGATCAAATCAATGGTATAGTTCTTGAATAGAAAATTTGAGAAATCATAAACTTAGGTATGATTTGCATCTCCGTGAAAATAAGTCTTAAACTACAAAAGGAATTTACAAACAATCATCAATTAAAGTCGGGCGGTTAAAAGTATAGCTAGAAAATTGTCGTTCGAATTCAATTAAAGTTTCCCAATTTGTTAACAATATTCGACGTGTTTAAAAAATATTTTTGATTTTTTACAGAGATACAAATACCTACTACTAAAAGGTTAAACTGTAAATAAATTTATTTACAAATGAATGGTTTCTTAACTGATAAAATAGTTTGAGAGGTCTTAACAAAAATGTTCAATAGTTTTTTTGAAAACTTAGTATTTCAGTATGTTGAAGTCCTGAGTGATGTGTATCTCGACATAATTTCTGATAATAATAATTTATTTTGGGTGAATTTGGTATAGTTTCGAAAGTTCTTACACATTTTTGTTACAAGTTATCCGTTTAAAACTCCAAAAATTGTCATTTTTGTATGCACCTGATGTCCAGACTACATTAAAAAAAATAAGGAGAAAGGGAGAAGGTAACGGGGTATATGGTCCCACAGTCAGAACTATCTAGTCCCCTCGACGACAACGATATCGTTTTTCCAAAAAACTAATGAAACTAATATAATAAAACTTAAGAGTTTACTTACTTCACTAAATATAATAATTGTATGCCAACAGATGTAAGGTATCCGGCTCCCGATCCATGTCTACCGTCACCCTGTGGACCATACTCCATTTGCCGTAACTCAAACGGTGAACCAGTGTGCGCTTGTGAGCCAGGCATGTTGGGTGCTCCGCCGACATGCCGTCGCCAATGCGTGATCAATCAAGATTGCCCTCTTGCACTTGCATGTATAGCAGGATCCTGTGTCAACCCTTGCGTTGGATCTTGTGGATTCAATGCACAATGTATGGTGCAAAACCATCAGCCAATCTGTTCCTGTAACGATGGATATTCTGGAGATCCATTCGCTGGGTGTGCTCCTTTTGAGTGTAAGTACTTAGATATGCCATATATGTTTAGTAGTGTATATTGTGCTTTTGCATGTCTGTGATTATTTTATACACATGCACTGCATGTTATTGTAGAAAAAGCATGACTTATCTATGAAATTTTCAGCTCCAAAAGAAGTACCGCGTCATCCTTGCCATCCATCACCATGTGGATCTAATGCCATTTGTCGTGAAAGAAATGGTGCTGGTTCGTGTACTTGTCTTGATGATTTCTATGGTGATCCGTATTTAGGGTGTCGTCCAGAATGTGTTATGAACACCGATTGTTCTACAGACAGATCGTGTTTTAATAATAAATGTGTGAATCCATGTTCTGGCACTTGTGGACAAAATGCAGAATGTAGAGTTACGAACCATGCACCTTCATGCTCTTGCTTACAAGGATTTAGCGGAAACCCTCTTCATGCATGTACTCCTGATCTGAGTAAGACTTTCTATCTTTTATACTATTCTATGTTGTTGTCTTTTCCTATTTTCTACTGTACTTATATATATCTCTTCTTTCTTTTATAATGTATCTAGTTTTACAAGACCCAGTTGATCCTTGTCAACCATCGCCGTGTGGACCCTACAGTAAATGTCGTATATTTAATGGACATGCTGTTTGTACATGCTTAGATAAATGTGTCGGCTCTCCGCCACATTGTCGACCAGAATGTATTGTTAGTTCTGATTGTCGATCGGACAAAGCGTGTATAAATCAAAAATGTCAAGACCCTTGTTCCGGTATGTGTGGAATTAACGCTTTGTGTCAAGTTGTAAACCATAACCCTATATGCAGTTGTACTAGCGGTTACACCGGTGATCCATTCGTTAAATGTTATATAGATGATGGTAAGTTTAAATTATATAATATTTTAAGTAATATTTTAACTTGCCAAATATGAATAATTTAAATTTTATCGTATTTTAACAGGACCTATATCACCTATAAATCCCTGTATTCCAAGCCCATGTGGCCCTAATTCACAATGCAATGAAAATAATGGGATTCCAGTATGCTCTTGTTTAAACAATTATGTGGGCCGTCCTCCTAATTGCAGACCAGAATGTGTAATAGATGTAGAATGTCCAGGAAACTTAGCTTGTATATCTGAAAAATGCAGAGACCCTTGTCCTGGTTCTTGTGGAATCCATTCTACGTGTAATGTTGTAAAACACATTCCAATATGTGTTTGTGATAATGGATATACCGGTGATCCATTTTCAGGATGCTCTGCTATACCTAGTGAGTAGTAGTCAAGAAAAAAATTAATTATATTGCTATTTATCAATGTCTAGATAGCTAGTTACAAATTTCTATTCCCTTTTAGTTATTGAGCCTCAACTCGTGAGTCCATGTGCACGTTCTCCTTGCGGATCCAATGCTGTATGTAAAGAAAGGCACGGCATAGGATCATGTTCCTGTCTTCCTGATTATTATGGAGATCCATATGTTGAATGTAGGCCTGAATGTGTATTGAATTCAGATTGTCCAAAGGATAAAGCTTGTGTAAATAATAAATGTAAAGATCCTTGCCCTGGAGTTTGTGGGATGAACGCAGAATGTCGAGTTCATAATCATGCGCCATCGTGTGCATGCCTTCCTGGATACGAAGGAAATCCATTCACATCTTGTTACACAAGTACGTTTTTTATTAATGAATTTTGTTCCCATATTTTATGCGGTTTAAGAGCCTTTATAATAAATAGTTTGTATTTTAGGACACACCGATACACCAGTTGATCCATGTTCACCTTCACCTTGTGGCCCTTATAGTATCTGTCGTATAAGCGACAATCATGCTATATGCTCATGTCAAGAACAATACTATGGGTCACCCCCATTTTGTCGTCCTGAATGCATGGTCAGCAGTGAATGTATGCCCAACAGAGCTTGTATAAATCAGAGATGTGTTGATCCATGTATAGGAGCATGTGGAAGCAATGCAAAGTGTACAGTTGTTAATCATAATGCATTATGTAGTTGCCCTCAAGGTCATATTGGGGATCCCTTTGTATATTGTACTTTCGAAGAAAAAAGTAAGTTTCTTTCTCAATGTTGTTGTTAATTGAAAATAAAAATATAGGAAAATATAGATTTCAACATTATTTAAAAATATTTTTAGAACCAGAACCGAAACCGTCTGGCAATCCTTGTGTACCTTCACCATGTGGACCAAATTCACAGTGTCGTATAATAGGTGATACGCCCGCTTGTTCTTGTCAACCTGGCTATATTGGACGAGCACCTAACTGTCGTCCAGAATGTATATATGATGAGGAGTGCCCTAATAATTTGGCTTGTATACGAGAGAAATGTGCCAGTCCATGTGAAGGGTCATGTGGGTCAAACGCTGAATGCATAGTAATTAATCACAGAGCTGTATGTCACTGCCGTGAAAGCTACACCGGGGATCCTTTTAGAGGATGTCAATTTATTGGTGAGAAACTTCATAGAACGTTTAGAAAATATGAAAAAATATTTTCCAAAGTTCTTAAATATGTAATTAAATTAATAAACCGTATTTTTGTTTTTAGTCAATGTTCCAAGTGAAGATGAAACAAACCCTTGTAATCCTTCTCCTTGTGGACCTAATGCAATATGTACTGAAAGGTCTCACGCTGGAGCTTGTACTTGCCAACCAGGATATTTTGGAGATCCCTATCTCGGATGCCGTCCTGAATGTGTCACAAATAATGATTGCCCATTAGACAGAGCTTGTTCAAATAATAAATGCGTAGACCCATGTCAAGGAGCATGTGGTTTAAACACTCAATGTTCTGTTGCTCATCATACACCAGTTTGCTTGTGTATTGACGGTTATGATGGAAATCCAATTATTTCTTGTCATCCTGAAAGAAAACGTAAGAATAAAATTACACTATATTTTAAAAGTTATTATTGTAACAAATAGAATAAAAATGTATATTGTTTAATTTTTGTAGCACCTACTGAAAACATCAATCCATGCATACCCTCACCTTGTGGTCCATACAGCATATGCAAATTAGTTAATGACCATGGGGTTTGTTCATGTCAAGAGGGATACGTTGGGTCTCCACCTACTTGTAGACCAGAATGTGTGACTAGTACAGATTGTCCTCAACATCAAGCTTGTATAAGACAAAAATGTAGTGACCCTTGTCCAGGAACATGTGGAGTGAATGCTCGGTGCCAGACAATCAACCACAATCCAATTTGTACATGTAAAACAGGATTTACGGGCGATCCCTTTGTGACTTGCCAATTAGAACAAAGTAAGAACTTCAATAAAGTTAAAAATAAAGACGAAAATTTTGTGAAAATGTTATTTATCCTTTATTTTAATTATATGTATTATATTATCTTTACAATTTCAAACATTTTTTCTTGCCATTTTTTGTTTCATCTTTTCAATTTCTGTTTCGATGTTTTCTTTTTCTTAATCTATCGTGTTTTCTTTCTTAGAACCTATTACTATGGGGCCTAAAGGAAATCCATGTATACCTTCGCCATGCGGTCCATATTCACAATGTAAAGTAGTTGGAGAAGCGCCTGCATGTTCATGCTTACCAAATTATATAGGTGTTGCACCAAATTGTAGACCAGAATGTTCTATAAATGCAGAATGTCCTGGTAATCTTGCATGTCAAAATGAAAAATGTGTAGATCCTTGTCCGGGGTCATGTGGTTTCAATGCGGACTGTTCTGTAGCAAATCACGTAGCACTTTGTGATTGTGTACCAGGGTATACTGGTGACCCTTTCAGTGGATGCACAGAATTAGAATGTAAGTTATTATCATATTTAAATGTCACCAAATAAAAAAAGGTCTTCTTTTAATTTAGATATTTATTCAATTCACAGATGGACCACCACCTCCGCCAAATCCATGTAGTCCATCACCGTGTGGAGCAAATGCGATATGCAAGGAAAGAAACGGAATTGGATCATGTACATGTTTACCAGAATATTTTGGAGATCCTTATACAGGTTGTCGCCCTGAATGTGTATCCAATTCTGACTGTGATAGAAACAAAGCCTGTTCAAACAACAAATGTAAAGATCCTTGCCCAGGAGCTTGCGGTATAAATGCAGAATGTAGAACAGTGAATCATTCTCCGATTTGTTCATGTCTTAATGGATACTCTGGTAATCCATTGGTGAGATGTGATTTAGAAAGTAAGTAAACAAAAAGATTGTATGATATTTATAATTAAGAAAGTTTACTTTATTAATATTCTTTCTCCATCAGTTATTTCAGACAAACCTTTAGACCCGTGTCAACCATCCCCATGCGGTCCGAACAGTCTCTGTCGCGTTATTAATGGTCACAGTGTATGCACTTGTGAGATTGGCTACATCGGAACCCCTCCGAGTTGTCGACCAGAATGTATCGTAAGCTCAGAATGTCCACAGGATAAAGCGTGTGTAAATAAGAAGTGTATAGATCCATGCCCCAATACATGTGGCCTAAATGCACGTTGTCAAGTTATAACTCACAATCCTATATGTAGTTGTTCACCAGGATTCACAGGCGATCCATTTACTAGATGTGAAACTGAAAAAAGTGAGTACTGGACTTAATATGTATAGTAAATAAAGACTTTTAAGTCATTCAACATATTATCGTATGGATTTTCATCACGAGAATGTGAATATGAGTAATATTACCATATAGAAGGAATGTATCAAAATTTAAGTCCCCTGTAAGGCTCCATGATTAAACACAAAAAATATATTTAAAACCAAACATCATACATTCGGTTTATGTTTCAGCAAAAGTTCTCGATTCAAAGCCCTGTTCACCATCACCGTGTGGGCCCAATTCAGAATGTCGAGTAATTGGAGATCAAGCTGCTTGTTCATGTTTGCCTAACTATATAGGAAGAGTACCAAATTGTCGACCAGAATGTACAATCGATGCTGAATGTCCTAGTAACACAGCGTGTATTAACGAACGTTGTAAAGATCCCTGCCAAGGCGCTTGTGGATTAAATGCACTCTGTGTTACTGTTTACCACAAACCCGTGTGCAGTTGTCAACAAGGTTTTGACGGAGATGCGACAATAAGATGCATCGAAAGAGAATTTTCGGGTTTGTGTTTTAATATTAACCATCGTTATATTAATTTGGTTATGACAGAATTAATTTTATAGGTAAATATTTTGCAGTTACCGAAGTCACACCAACATCTAGTCCATGTTCACCATCTCCATGCGGACCGAACGCTGTCTGTCGGGAACATAATGGTGCCGGTGCATGTGTTTGCTCTGAGGGTTACGAAGGTGACCCATATAGCCCTCAAGGTTGTCGTAGAGAATGTGAAAATAATGACGATTGCACACCGAATTTAGAATGCATTCGATTTAAATGTATCGATCCCTGTCCTAGAACTTGTGGTCGAATGGCACAATGTATCGTCGAAAATCATATCCCTATTTGTAGCTGTCCAAAAGGGTATTCTGGGGATCCCTTTTTTGAATGCAAGCATATAGAATTTACACGTAAGTTTATCCAATAAATTTAATTAAAAACTTATAAGTTTTACCAATCTGAAGCAATATATTATTATATGTGGCGGAACCCTTTAAGCAAATAGAATTGAATGCGTCGATAGAATCGAATTGATGATGTTAAAACTTCAATATGTTTTCATTACGGAAGTATAAGTAATTATACTAGCTGTTATCCTCGGTCATATCCGCGTGGATAAAAAGTAATAAGAGTTTTTTTTTTTGCGGTGGTAAGCCGTCTATCATATTCCATCCTATCAACTATCTTCTTACAAAACCATAAGTTAATGATGCTCGGTTTCAACGTGGTAGTAAGACAAACAAACACACATATCCCCATTTATATTAGCATTAAGTAGTTCATATTTATTCTTTTCATAAACGGTTATAAAGAATTAAAAGTACAGGTAATATTTAATCCAATTTACATAAGTATGTTAATAATTGTCATTTCCCTTTCTACTAATTTGTATATAAACTACTCAAATATTATTTCTTATCGTTCAAAAACTTTCTTAAAAGTTTTTACCTCATTTAACTGTCAGATTTATAAAAATCCATTCTAGTAACATATATGAGATAAATTTACCATTTTCAAATCTCTATGACCGGCGGCTTAGGTTGGTCAATCTCTCAGCATTTCAGCACAAAAAAATTATAATATAGTGTTTGATTACAAAAGAGTATACATATATATTTCTTTTTTAACGAAATTTTTTCAGATAATAGATATATAAAAAATACATCAACGCTATTTATGATTTTATGATAATCTAGTTTTTATTTTTAAAAATTAACCACAACATATTATGCTAATTTGTTTTTTTTTTATTAAAGATTCTATGACATATAAGACTGTTACATATTATCATGAAACCAAACTACTATATAAAATAAATATTACACAATATCACATACATTGCTCCGATCCCATTTAAATACCAAAATTATGCACTCTGTATTTTGAAAATCTAAAACGAATAAGGTTACCTGGATTCCAGTCGAAACATAAAACGGAGACAATAAGTCATCATCATCATCAGCCCTTTTAGGTCCCCACTGCAGGGGCTCAGGCCTTCCTTATGGATGGTTAAGGAGGATGGGCCATGACCCTCCACGCTGGCCCAATGCGGATTGGAGGGTATTAACGACCGCAAATGCAGCCGGGACCAACGGCTTAACGTGCCTTCCGAAGCACGGAGTAGCTCGAGATAATGATTTTTCGGTCACCCATCCCGTGACCGACCCTTGCGAAAGTTGCTTAACGACAACGATCGTGGGCCGCGGCGCTTATCCACTATGCCACCGAGCTACTTATAAGTAGTTTTGATAAATTTGTAATGTTTACAGCTACACCACCACAATTCCCTTGCGAACCAAACCCATGTGGACCAAATAGTTTATGTCAGCAAATAAATATGCAAGCAGTTTGTTCCTGTCTACCAAATTACGTAGGACTGCCACCATCATGCAGACCCGAATGTGTTGTCAATAGCGAATGCGATGCTTCTAAAGCTTGTATAAATCAGAAATGTGATAATCCTTGTCCAAACACGTGCGGACTTAGAGCCCATTGTTTGGTTAAAAATCACAATCCAATTTGCACTTGCCCAGCAGGAATGTCTGGAGATCCATTTACACAGTGTTATCGTGAGTACATTTTTTTTTGTGATGTCATATTTTATAATACATCTAGGTATATAAATATCTTTATAATCTTTTAAACTTTCGCGTTGCATTATATTAAATTGCCGCGAAATATAGGTAGGTGAAAAACCTAACTATGAATTCAATCGCGTTAATACCCGTTTCATACAATCTAATAAATATCTTTTCTATTTTTTTAGCTGTTCCACAAGTCACAGAAAGACCTCCATCATGTACACCATCACCATGTGGTCCTCATTCTCGCTGTCAATTATTAGCAACGGGACCTGCGTGTTCATGTTTACCTGGCTATATAGGATCACCACCGTCCTGTCGACCAGAATGCACAATTAGTTCTGAATGTCCAGCTTCGCTTGCATGTCTACGACAAAAATGTGATGATCCATGTCCGGGATCTTGTGGTGTAGATGCCAATTGTCACGTTTTAAATCATGTTGCTGTGTGTATGTGTAATGATGGATACACTGGTGATCCATTTACAAGATGCGTACCAATAATTGAAGGTATTTATTGAACTATTTATTATTGGATTTTTGAAGAAACTTAAACAGACTACCAATGTTAATATTATTTTCAGCCGCAACAACTGCCACCCCATCAGACCCATGTGTTCCTTCTCCTTGTGGACCGAATGCGCAATGTGACAATGGAGTGTGCACATGTTTACCCGATTATAGTGGAAACCCTTATGAATCATGTCGTCCGGAATGCACAGGAAGCCAAGAATGTCCGCGAGATAAAGCTTGTTTTAGAAATAAGTGCCGAGATCCATGTCCTGGAGTTTGTGGACAGAATTCCAAATGTGACGTTATAAATCATATTCCAACATGTTCATGCATAACTGGTTTCACTGGGAATCCGTTTACCTATTGTCAGCCTATAGAAGAAATTAAACAAATCCCGAAAGATCCTTGTCATCCTTCGCAATGTGGTCCAAATAGCATATGTAAAGCACTTAATAATACTGCCGTATGTGCTTGTATAGACGGTTTCCAGGGTTCACCACCCATGTGCAGACCCGAATGCATCATCAGTTCAGAATGCACATCTACTAAAGCCTGCGTAAATCAAAAATGTATAAATCCTTGCATCAATGCTTGCGGTCTTTCAGCAAGATGCGAAGTCATCAACCACAGTCCAATATGTAGTTGTAATCCAGGGCAAACCGGAGATCCATTTAAAAAATGTTATGATATTGAACAAGTTCCTCCTGAACCAATAGATCTTTGTAATCCTTCACCATGTGGTCCGAATTCCGCATGCATTGAAAGAAATGGAAAACCAAATTGCAGATGTGTCGAAAATTATGTTGGGCAACCACCTAACTGCAGACCTGAATGTGTCATTAACTCAGATTGCGTTTCCAATCAAGCATGTGTAATGAATAAATGTATAGATCCATGTCCAGGGTCATGTGGAATAAACGCTGATTGTATTATTGTCAATCACATGGTATCATGCATTTGCAGAGAAAAATATACCGGTAATCCATTCCAACAGTGTGTACCTCTTGAAGGTGCGTTTTTTATTTAATATATTTTATTTATATCAATGCGAATACTTTGTGGTGGTCGGTCCTCTCTACCTAGCCAGAAAGTTTATCGGCGTGAAGACATAAAAAAAATAGAACGTATATATAAATTAAAAAATAGTAATTGTTAGTAATTGAAATATTAGCTGTTTTTAAGAGTTCTTAATATCATTCTAAAAGTTTAAGAACATACACACAATCTAATCTCCCCTTTTGATGACATAAATATAGACTAGCTTTTCACAAGCCGTTTCGCCCGCTTGCATTATATGCTTGTTTTCGTAGAAACTTTCAACCCCTGTTTCACTCCTTTAGGATCGGATTTCCATAAATTTTGAAACAGGTTTAACTTTTTTGTTTAATATTTTTTATCCTAAAAAAAGATTCTATCTCGATTATAAAAAGGCTATCAACAAACTTTGAACCCTTATTTCACCTGCAGCGATTGAATGTCTTCTACACAAAATTACTGTACTAATAAAACATCACGGGGTCAACTTCGATAGCTTATTCTTGATGAATCATGATTGAACGTGAATCAGGCCAAATTCTTTTATCTGTAGAATACATGAACATCATCATCTACTACATATAGAATACATCATCATTAATGTGCCATTGCTGAGGTATAGGTTTTTATTATGGATGGCATTAAATAGGACCGTGCGGATTGGTGAGCGTTAACATATGCTATTGCAACTAGGACCACCAGCTTAACATACCTTCCTAAGCACGGATGAACTTGAGATAATAATTTTTTGGTCATCTTACGATTAGCGCTTACGAAAATTGCATAATCTCCGCATCGCAGACTGAACACATTTTTTTATATTTATAGATCAATAAAATACACAACGCATTTTTTATTGCAGAAACAGTAACGCAGCCTTGTGATCCATCACCTTGTGGAGCAAATGCAATTTGTAATCAAAAAGATGGTGCTGGTTCTTGTTCATGTATGAATGGATATCAAGGCAACCCCTATGAAGGCTGTAGACCAGAATGCGTTCTTAGTTCTGACTGTCCGGCTGATAAAGCTTGTGTTAGAAACAAATGTGCTGATCCATGCCCAGGCATTTGTGGTTCTAACGCCGAGTGCACAGTTATAAATCACGTCCCATCTTGTGCCTGTGTAAAAGGTTATTCAGGAAACCCATTCGAACAATGCAAAAGAGATATAGTAATAGAAGATATTAAACCATGTCAACCATCTCCTTGCGGACCCAATAGTATTTGTAGGGAAAATGCTGGTTTGGCGTCTTGTGAATGTCTTCCTGATTACAGAGGAGCACCACCTGACTGTAGGCCAGAGTGCACTGTAAGCAGTGAATGTCCATCTGATAGAGCGTGCCACAAACTAAAATGTGCAGATCCATGTCGTGGCACATGTGGAATTGGAGCTCATTGTCAGGTTATCAATCACAGTCCGTTATGCAGTTGTCCAGCAGGTACAAGTGGAGATCCATTTTCAAGATGCAATGAAGTGTCACATGTGCCTGTTATACCAATACAACCATGTCAACCTAACCCTTGTGGACCCTTCAGTGAGTGTCGAGCGGTCAATGGAAATCCTTCATGTTCTTGCAACAACGGCTATATAGGCACACCGCCAAATTGTCATCCTGAATGTTTAGTCAATACAGACTGCCCATCACATCAAGCGTGTATTGCAGAAAAATGTAGAAATCCATGTGAGGGTTCGTGTGGGTATAGAGCAGAGTGTCGCGTCCATGATCATATACCAATTTGCAGTTGTCCTACTAGTTACTCCGGTGATCCCTTCATACAGTGCATTGAAGTTTTAGGTATGTTAAACTTTAATGAACAAAATGTTGTTGTAATATTAAAGCATACAAACTAAGCAAAACTGTCAGCCTTTAAATGATTTTAAAACGATTGAGAATCCAGATTTAAAATTAAGTGGATAAATATATTTTTGTAACCTGCTGTGCACACAGTAGAAACAAATATTAATAATGACTAATAAATAAATTATAAAACATAGTTGTAATTCAACATGCAGAATAAGTAGTTATAACACATAATGTTAATGATTGCTAATTAGAAAAATAAGATAATTGTGATTATAAAGAAAATAGATTTTCACATCGGATATTTTTTTATCGTTAAAAATGTTTTTAAATTCACAGATACTCCAAAACCTAGTGAAGATCCTTGTAATCCATCACCTTGTGGAACTAATACCTTATGCGATGCTGGAATTTGTTCTTGCGCACCTGGCTTCTTTGGAGATCCTTATACTGGTTGTCGCCATGAATGTTCCACTAATGGTGAATGTTCACCAACTCGGTCGTGCCAAGGAGGAAAATGTGTAGACCCTTGTCCAGGAGCTTGTGGTACTGGAGCAAGATGCACCGTTAATAACCATATACCATCTTGTTCATGTCCACCCAAGACATCCGGAGATCCGTTTCTATTTTGCACTGAAGTCATAATAGAAACTGGTAAGTACTATTAAAAACAATTAAACTAGATACTTTAAGGCGATTATTGTTAATTTGCATATATTTAAATTTTTAGATACCCGATCAGCCTGCTCGCCTTCACCATGCGGTCCCTATAGTGAATGCACAGTGAGCGCCAATGGTGCGGCCGCGTGTTCTTGCAAGGCTGGTCATATCGGTTCACCACCGTCTTGCCGTCCGGAATGCCTTGTCAGTTCCGAGTGCAAGTTGCAACTGGCATGCATCGACCGTCGTTGTCGAGATCCGTGTGAGGGTGCTTGTGGCCGTGGAGCAAAATGTCAAGTTATTGCACATTCACCGATATGTACTTGTAATGATGGATTCACTGGGGATCCATTTACCTATTGCTTCCCTATACCAGGTAAACCTACAGGCCTATTGATTTATATTAACAATTAGCTTAAATGTAGGTAAATAAATAGTAGGTATAATTAATTATTATTTTCAGAACCACCGGTAAATATTGATCCATGTCAACCGTCGCCTTGCGGACCAAACTCCATTTGTCTAAAAGTAGACGATACACCAGCTTGCAGTTGTCAATCCGGTTATATTGGTATTCCACCAAATTGTCGACCTGAATGTACAATAAGTGCTGAATGCCCAGCAACGTTGGCTTGTACTGCTCAAAAATGCAAAGACCCATGCGAACAAGCCTGTGGGTTGAAAGCAGTCTGTTCAGTAGTAGATCACCGTGCTACCTGTGCTTGTGAACCAGGACTAGAAGGTGATCCGTTCCAGGGTTGTACTATACCTAAAGGTAAGAATATAAAAACTGTCAATGTGTAATTAAAGGTTTAAGTTTATCTGTTTTTACAATAGGTGAATCAGTTCAAAACTCAAATTCAAACATATTTTTACCACAAGAAAATAGTAAATGGCTTTGAGTTTAATATTACAGTCGTTCATATATTATTTCTTTATGAGAAAAAGGTAACAGTCAGAAAATCTACTGGTGTATAAAACAATCACAAATCCCATTTGAAAAATGCTATATAACCCTCCGCTTTGCAAAGCGTGATAGATGATATAATAATTCATGCTTCAGGAGTGCTTTTAAATTATTATGTAAGAAAGGTCTACCCCTTTACCAATAGTCACGCCTCACACAGTTTACTAATGTATAAAAAATGGGATTGTATTTGTGGTTTTACTTTGGGACTGAGTGGTGACCATGCCCATCGCTTGGCCAGAAGGTAACTCCGCTAATATTTTCTCATTTAATAAGTGCTTTAAAAATAAGCCTTCGGATAAGAACGGTGAAGATGACAACATCATTTAATCATTTAGATCTTGGACTGCTTCCAGAAGGGATGTAACAACTTGAAATAACTTTTTATGTGAAATTAATGCCTTTGCTTGGATCGGAGCACGCGGAGATAACCTAGCACTTACAGTAAGCTTAGGACGTCCGTCGTGACGACCGCTTTAGGACGGTGCCGCTAGTATAGTGACGCTGTCGCCGGAATAAAGAGGTCACTAAACGTCGCCGAGCAGAGCAAGCTTCGACTAACGCTTCGGAGCCCAGAAGGTGCTTCTACGGTGAAAGAGATATATATCGGTAAGTGGATTCATATTTTTCATAAAATATTTCAGCTCCATCGAAGATTGAATTCATTAATCCATGTGAGCCTTCTCCTTGCGGGGCAAACGCTGAATGTAAAGTCCTCGGGAATGCAGGATCTTGTACGTGCCTGCCTGACCATTTTGGGGACCCGTACGTAAGCTGTAGGCCTGAATGCTTAGCTGATTCTGATTGTTCTTTGATGTTGGCTTGTATTCAAAATAAATGTAAAGATCCATGCCCTGGTGTATGTGGATATAATGCAGAATGTTACGTTATTAATCATAAGCCAACATGTAATTGTAAAGTTGGCTATACAGGAAATCCACTATCTGTTTGTTCTCTGATGCCTGGTGAGTTTTTGAAAATCAATATTTCATTATTCATTTATCATTGCAAACGTAAATTGTATCTACATGTTTTGTGAATAAATTCTTATATATTACAGAGAGAGACCTAACAGTGGTAAATGTTTGCAACCCCTCACCATGTGGAGCCAATTCGATTTGTAAGGAATTAAATAATCAGCCGGTTTGTTCTTGTATTCACAATTATATTGGAACACCACCAAATTGTAAACCTGAGTGTATCGTAAATTCAGAATGTAGACCGAACCGAGCCTGTATCAATCAAAGATGTATAAATCCTTGCCCTAAGCCCTGTGGACAAAATACAGAATGTAAAGTAGTTCGTCATAGTCCAGTATGTACTTGCCGAGCGAGATATTCTGGAAATCCATTTACTGTCTGTACCTTAGTTTTACGTAAGTATGATATATTATATCGTCGATAGTAGTAAAAACTTGTTTTAACATTATTATTAACCGGTTATAATATTAACTAGGTTGAAATAAAATCCACGTAACCCTCGAATTCAATAGAAGATTCTAGAATATATGTTGTATATGATTAGTTTTAAGTTACACAATACATAAACAGTCAGTTGCACAAACGTTCATTAAGGTTCAATGACGCTTTAAAACTAATGAATGTCAAATTTGTATGGGTAATGTCACTTTAAAGTAATGAAAATTTTAATGGAAGTTTGTGCAACTGGCTTATAGTTACGCATATTTCACTTTCATTAAATTTTTTGAAGTCTGTTTATTAAAAGATTTTTTATTATATTTGATCAATTTTGCATTCACAATGCTATTCTTTAAAATGCTAAAAAACCCACTGTCCATGGCACTTTAAGATGGGAGTGCTAAGTACATAGTGGATTTTTTTGTATTTTTTATTAAAACAATTTTTTACATATAAATATTTTTTTAATGCTAACAATAATAGTCCTTGAAAACTACGGAACCGATTTCAATAAAACTTGCTCAGTTTTCTAATATTAAATCAACTAAAAAAAAAGAATTTTCAATCCGGTTTTTCGTTTCCGAGAAATACGTGGATAAACTTATATACATACTAGCTGTTTTTCAGCGACTTTGCACACGTAAATTATAGCCTTTGTTAACCTTCCACGATGTAGTATAATATAAGTATAGATATTATTAAATATACATTTTATAGATATTAATTAATATTAATTTATATAGATTTAAAAAAAAAATCACACCAGATTAGAAGCCTATAGAAAAAGTTTAACATTCTAAATTACATATCTAAATGTTTAATTGATGACCATTTTTAAACTACTTACCTTTGTAAGAACAAAAATTAGATCTAAACAAAGATCACAAAGATGTTATTTTTCTTATACATCAAGTATGAAAATTTATTGTTTTAATGTTATTTCGTAAAAAAATTGGATTACTGTAAAAATAACTAAAACGTATTCTTTCTTAGTCGTGAGTTTTTGAATATTTTTTATTTATTTTTAGAAACGTCGCCAAGTATTGTAGAATCGACAGATCCTTGCATGCCGTCACCATGTGGATTAAATGCTGCATGTCGACAAGTGAACGGTCTTGCGTCATGTTCATGTTTACCCTCATATACTGGATCTCCACCATTCTGTAGACCAGAATGTGTAGTACATTCTGATTGTCCCAGTGATCAAGCATGCGTTGCAGAAAAATGCCGAAACCCTTGCGACGGATCATGCGGTCTTTATGCAAAATGCTTTGTTAACAACCACGTCCCCGTTTGTTTATGTCCAGATGGATTTATAGGAGATCCTTTCCGAGAATGTATAGTTAAGCCACTCGAAGGTATATATAATGACACGGTTGAGACAATTAATTTAAATAAACAATAGCATTTACCAACAAATATATTTTTTTTCAGTTGAACCCGTGATTCCTGCAGAACCTTGTTCCATTCCACCTTGTGGGCCCAATACTGTTTGTTCAAATGGTATATGTGCGTGTGTAGAAGGGTATCATGGGGATCCTTATCTCGGGTGTCGGCCAGAATGTGTATACAACTCTGACTGTTCTACTGATATGGGTTGCCAGAAACATAAATGCGTTAATCCTTGTATTGGAACATGTGGTTTGCACGCTATTTGCATTGTCACAAATCATATTCCTATGTGCACATGTCCGAAAGGTACATCAGGAAATGCATTTATAGAATGCCGTCCTACAGCAGGTAAATAATATATAGTTAACATTTTTAATTTTTAATAGAATGATATTTAACTAATGGGATATCTGTCTATCTATTTTAGTTACTTCGGAGAATCCTTGCAATCCTTCACCGTGTGGTCCAAATAGTCAATGCAGACAAATAAATGGTCAAGCAGTGTGTTCATGTGTGCCTGGATATATGGGTAACCCTCCGACTTGTAGACCCGAATGTTTAATCAGCCTAGAGTGTTCTTTAAAAGAAGCTTGTAATAATCAGAAATGCATCAATCCTTGTATCGGAGCATGTGGTTCAGGAGCTATTTGCGATGTCATCAATCATAATCCGATTTGTACGTGTCCACCACTAATGACTGGTGATCCTTTTGTTAGATGCATTATCATAGGTAAGTGTATTTATTTCAGTACGATATGAACTACAGTTGAATATCGGCTTATTATTCTTCAGAGTGATTCACCTAAACAGCCCTTAATTATTTATTATATTTTTTTATTTACAGAAAGTGATACTCCTGTGGTGAATCCTTGTGAACCGTCACCGTGCGGACCATATTCTGTATGTAAAATAAAAGATCAAGGACCACTTTGTGCTTGCCTACCTACATATAAAGGCTCTCCTCCAAATTGCAGACCAGAGTGTATTAGCAACAGTGAATGTGAATATAATTTGGCATGCTTGAATAATAAATGTTTTGATCCCTGTATTGGAACCTGTGGTGCAAACGCAGAGTGTAAAGTAGTGAGTCATGCACCTTTGTGTATATGTCAACCAGGTTATACTGGTGATCCATTTTCAGATTGCCATCCTCAAATAGAACCATTTGAAATATTAAAACCCTGTAGTCCTAGTCCGTGCGGGTCTAATGCTATTTGTAAAGAACAAAACGGTGTTGGAGCATGCCAATGTGTCGATGGTTATTTAGGAAATCCTTATGAAGGGTGTAGACCAGAATGTGTTGTAAACTCTGATTGCCCTCTCAATAAAGCATGTTCAAGGATGAAATGCTTAGATCCCTGTCCAGGAACTTGTGGGCAAAACACTTTATGTCACGTTAACAACCACATGCCAATCTGTGCTTGCCAAACTGGATACACTGGAAATCCTTTCAGTCATTGCACAATTGTTCAAGAACGTAAGCAATTTAAAAATTTTATATTTATATCAATTATTACATATAATGGAATAGGAGATCTCGTTGAATTAAATGAAATGAATAATAAGTAATTAAATATATTTTTTTAGCATTGCTCGCAGAAACGAATCCCTGCAATCCATCACAATGTGGCGCCAACAGCCAATGCAAAGTAATAAATGGCCAGGCTGCTTGTTCTTGTCTAATAAACTTTATTGGTGCTCCACCTAATTGTCGACCAGAATGTGTTATAAGTTCCGAATGCCCGTCAAATTTAGCCTGTATCAACCAGAAATGTGAGAATCCTTGCATAGGAGCATGTGGACAACAAGCTAATTGTAATGTAATAAATCACAGTCCAATTTGCGTTTGCAAACAAGGATTGACCGGAAATCCATTTACAAGATGCTATCCAATAATAGGTAACTTGAACTAATAAATATTCATGATTACAAATTGTCACATTACACAATTACATTAAAAATAACACCCTTAAATAAAACTATTATCTTTTTATCTAGTATCGCAGCCATCATTTAAACCTAATGAAGAACCCTGTGTACCTTCTCCTTGTGGATTATATGCAGAATGCCGAAACATTAATGGTGTACCATCCTGTAGCTGTATGCAAAATTATATCGGTAGCCCCCCATATTGTCGTCCGGAATGCACCATCAACTCTGAATGCCCCAGTAATCAAGCGTGTATAAATGAGCATTGTAGAGATCCTTGCCCTGGAGCCTGCGGTATCAATGCTCAATGTACGATTGTGAACCACATTGCTCAATGCGCATGTATTGATCAATACACTGGAGATCCATTTATACACTGTGCTCTTCTTCAAGAAAATGATGGTAAGAATCTTTTAATATAAGAAGTTTTTTGACAGTAATATGATTATTACCAATTTCATCTTACTGTCAAAAACTCCTTACTTATTAGCAAAATGTCCTTTCATGTTTACTATCGATTTTCGCAGATACTTACGTAGAATTGAATCCTTGCAATCCATCTCCTTGTGGGGCAAACGCTGAATGTAATGAAGGCATATGTACATGCCTGCCAGAATACCAAGGCGATCCATATTTTGCCTGCAGACCTGAATGTTTGGTGAATACAGACTGTTCTCAACATAAGGCATGTATACGAAACAAATGTGTAGATCCCTGTAATGGCACATGTGGTGTGGAAGCAATTTGCAATGTTTATAATCATGTGCCTATGTGCACATGTCCAACAGGTTATTCTGGAAATGCTTTTATTGAATGCCGAAAGAATGCTATTGTAGAAAACCTATCTCCGTGTAGCCCATCACCATGTGGACCCAACAGTCAATGCCGTGAAATAAATGGTCAAGCTATTTGCACCTGTCTTCCTCAATATATAGGTGCTCCACCAACGTGTAGGCCTGAGTGTGTTACAAGTGCAGAATGTGCATTAAATAAAGCGTGTTCTAATCAACGCTGCATTGATCCATGTAAAGGAAATTGTGGAGCTGGAGCTTTATGTCAAGTAATCAACCATAACCCTATTTGTTCCTGCCCTCAAGGCTTTACTGGGGATCCATTCAGTAGATGTAGGTTTGAAGGTAATTATTTTCTTTTTGATGGTAAAAAAAACTACTTATAGATTAGGTAAGTTCTTTATAGGCGATCCACCATAAAATGAAAGCAATCGAATTTATCGGCAATCGGTCGCAATCAATTATCATCTCATATTTTAGATTTTAAATACTAATAATTTAGTGATTGTAAGTTAAAATAATACAAATACAGATTTAATTTCAGATATTCAGCCGTCAGTTTATGAAAATCCTTGCACTCCTTCACCTTGTGGTCCAAACTCTGAATGCAAGGAAGTCGGTGGCTCACCATCTTGTGCTTGTTTGCCTGAATTCAAGGGAATCCCACCAGATTGTCGACCGGAATGTATAGCGAATTCGGAATGCGCAAACCATTTGGCATGTATAAATAATAAATGTAAAGATCCTTGTCCAGGGTCCTGTGGAATAAACGCCGAATGTAAAGTAATAAGTCACACACCACAATGTTTTTGTGCATCAGGTTATACAGGCGATGCTTTCATTAAATGTACAGTCTTAGAAGTGATTCTAAGACCATGTTCCCCATCGCCATGTGGCCCCAATGCTGTTTGTAAAGAGCTTCATGGTGCTGGATCTTGTGTGTGTTTAGCTGACTACACAGGTAACCCATATGAGGGATGTCGTCCCGAATGCATTGTTAATTCAGATTGCGATACAAATTTGGCATGCGTTCAAAAGAAATGCCAAAATCCCTGTAGCAATGTATGTGGAACGAACGCTATATGTAATGTTGTTAATCATACTCCAACATGTTATTGCTTGCCGGGACTTACTGGAAATCCTCAACAACACTGTTATGAGAAATTGACAGGTAATTTTCTTTAAAGGATGCTGCATCAGTCAATTTGCAATTTTTTGTAACTAACATTTTATTAATTTAATATTGTAGATGATCCTATCACAAGACGAAATCCATGCACTCCATCACCGTGTGGACCAAACAGCAATTGCAAGGTATCTAATGATCAAGCCGTCTGTACTTGCCAGCCTGAATACATAGGTACCCCTCCCGGGTGTCGACCGGAATGTCTAGTTAGTTCAGAATGTAATCAACATCAAGCTTGCATAAACAAAAAGTGTAAAAATCCATGTGAAGGCGTTTGCGGACAAAATACTGAATGTCAAGTTATCAATCACAGTCCTATTTGTTCTTGCCGTTCACAATATACTGGTGATCCATTTAGCCGCTGCTATCCTTATCAAGGTAAGCTCTATTTATTAATAAACTCGTAATTAACACTTGATAGAAGTCTTTTAAATATATTAATTTTTACTTTGATTTTCAGCTGATGTCATAGTAGTTCAAACCGATCCTTGTTTGCCATCACCTTGTGGACCTTTTTCACAGTGTCGTAATGTGGGTGGCACTCCATCCTGCTCTTGTTTACCACAATATAAAGGTAGTCCTCCATACTGCAAGCCCGAATGTACGTTAAACACAGATTGTCCGAATGAAAAAGCGTGTATCAATGAGAAATGTATCGACCCTTGTCCAGGATCTTGTGGTATCAACGCAAATTGCAGAGTGCAAAACCATATTTCAATATGCACATGCGTTGACAGACATATAGGAGATCCATTTGACAGATGTATAATCAAACCTTTGCAAGGTAAACTTCTAAAAATACTTATAAAATAATGTATTTCATAATACATAATACTTATTTAAATCTAAAAAAAAAAATGTTTTGTTAACAGATGTTATCCCTGTTGATCTATGTAACCCAAGTCCTTGTGGATCAAATGCAATATGCAATGATGGTGATTGCACTTGTTTGCCTGACTATAGCGGTGATCCATACTTTGGCTGTCGTCCCGAATGTACGATTAGTTCAGAATGTCCTATGGACAAAGCTTGCGTGAAAAACCACTGCGTTAATCCTTGTGTTCAGACTTGTGGCATAAATGCTATTTGTGAAGTTGTAAATCATATGGCTGTTTGTACTTGTTCTCCAAAAACAACAGGGAATGCTTTTATTGAATGTAAACCATTTGGTAAGAATTTATATTTGTTACCTATTTTTAATGATGGTATTTTATAATTAATATTTCTTTTAACATAGCTCAATGAGAGAAGTTACTAAATTCATCAGATTTTTTCCTTACTACATAAATTGGTAATCGATGATTTTTATAAAATTAGGTTCGTAGTTACTAAAAACCTAAAAAATGGGCATAAGTACTCACTCATCATGACCGTTTCGATGGTCATGAAAACAAAAATAATATTCTCCAATAAAAATATATCTGTCTAAGTTAAAATATTATTAAGTTAGAATATATAAAAAATAATAGCTCATTCAAGCGTAAATTTTATTATGCTATTCAACTTATTAAGAATTATTGATAATTTTAACTAATTTTCAGATGTTATTCCGGGTAATCCTTGTCAACCTAGTCCATGTGGACCCCATAGTCAATGTAGAGACTTTAATAAACAAGCAGTTTGTTCATGCCTTACCGGGTATCGTGGAGCACCACCATCCTGTCGTCCAGAATGTGTTGCAAGTTCAGACTGTCCACTTAACAAAGCTTGCAGTAATCAAAAATGTATAAATCCATGCAAAGGAACATGTGGAGTTAATTCACTTTGTCAAGTAATTAAACATAGCCCGGTTTGTTCCTGTCCTTCTGGAATGTCTGGAGATCCATTTACAAGATGTATACATGCCAGTAAGTTCTTAATATTATGCGAGTAAAATTTATATTTATATATATATATATATATATATATATTTATATATATATATATATATATATATATATATGGATTATTATTACAAGAAAGTTAATAACATATAATTTTTATTGCAGTCCCTGAAGTGTCAACACCCATCAATCCTTGTCAACCTTCCCCATGTGGTCCAAATGCACTATGTCAGTTGAATGGTGGTGAAATACCATCATGCCAATGTATGCAAGATTTTATTGGTTCACCACCAAACTGTCGACCAGAATGTATTGTTAATAACGAGTGCGCAACTCAGTTGGCTTGTATAAATAAAAAATGTCAAGATCCCTGTTCTCAGGCTTGCGGTATAAAAGCAGAGTGTCGGGTAGTTAGTCACACCCCTGTTTGCATTTGTCCAGAAGGATTTACTGGTGATGCTTCAGTACAATGTATTGTCAAAGATGTTATGTTCAGTGAAGTAATATCTCCATGTTCACCATCACCATGTGGACCAAATGCTGTCTGTGAAGAAAGAACTGGAGCTGGAGCATGTCTTTGTGTGAAAGGATATTTCGGAAATCCTTACGAAGGTTGTCACCCAGAATGCTTAGGAAATTCTGACTGTCCAAGTAACAAAGCGTGTGTTAGAAATAAATGTATAGATCCTTGTCCTGGTTCATGTGCAGCTAATGCAGATTGTCAAGTAGTCAACCATTCACCTATGTGCACCTGTCCAATTGGATACAGTGGGGATCCTTTCAGACAATGCATTATAAAAAGTAAGTTAAAGATCAGGAAGGAATATTTAGATTATTTACGTAATTCGACTATTTACAATTCATTATTACTTTACAGGTATAGAAATAGAACAAAAAAATCCTTGTCAGCCTTCACCATGTGGTCCAAACAGTCAATGTCGGGTAGCTAATGGTCAAAGTGTATGCTCATGTTTACCAGAATATCGTGGATCTCCGCCAAATTGTAGACCAGAGTGCGTTGTTAGTGCAGAATGTTCTTCAGATAAAGCCTGCAGAAACCAAAAATGTATATCGCCCTGTCCTGGACTTTGTGGTCAAAATACAGATTGTAGAGTGATCAATCATAGTCCTATTTGTACTTGCCAAGATAAATATACTGGAGATCCATTTACGAGATGTTTTATAATATCAGGTAGCACCCCATATTTTTCTATTTAAGTGTATATTATCTGCTGTGCAATAGGATATTACCTACTTATTTGTTTTTAGCAGCTACAGTCGCAATACCTTCTGGTGAACGAGACCCATGTATACCATCACCCTGTGGTCCCAACTCATTATGCCGAAATCTAAATGGAATTCCCTCATGTTCTTGTCAGCCTAATTATGAAGGTAGTCCACCTGCGTGCCGACCTGAGTGTACTATCAATGAAGAGTGTGCTAGTAATTTAGCATGTATAAATCAAAAATGTCGAGATCCTTGTCCAGGCTCATGTGGAATTAATGCAAATTGTCAAGTATTAAAGCATATATCTGTTTGCACATGTATTGGCGGTTATACTGGCAATGCATTTACACAATGCATTCGTACTCTACTAATTGGTACGGTATATATATCAAAAAATGTTATTTGCTACTAATATTCATAATTTTAAACGGTTTGTCAATCAATTATTTACTTTTTAGAACAAGATGATCCATGCAATCCCTCACCATGCGGAGCTAATGCAGAATGTTATAATGGAAAGTGTACATGTCTTCCCGAATTCCATGGGGACCCGTACTTTGGATGTCGACCTGAATGTGTTCAGAGCTCTGAATGTGATCATGACAAAGCTTGTATTAGAAATAAATGCGTTAATCCTTGTCCAGGTCCATGTGCATCGAATGCATTATGTACTGTATACAATCACATACCAATGTGCACTTGCCCAGAACGCATGTCAGGCAATGCCTTCTTTGAATGTCGACCTCTATTGGGTATATATAAATATTATCATTTTATTCCTTACTTAAATTATTCCTTATTTATTGTTTATTATTTCTACGTATAAAAAAGTTTAAGTTGAATTTTTATAGCATTTTTCTTTAAGATAAGCAAACTACAGGAAAAATAAAAATATCAACTTTAAGATTTTTTTGTGAATAACGCAGTCTGTCATTATTACAGAAACTGTACCAGCAAATCCTTGTCACCCCTCTCCATGTGGTCCTAACAGCCAATGCAGAGAAATAAATGGCCAAGCTGTTTGTTCGTGCACACCTAATAACATCGGAGCTCCCCCAAATTGTCGCCCAGAATGTACAATTAGCGCAGAATGCCCATTAAATGAGGCGTGTAGTAATCAGCGTTGTATTAATCCATGTATCGGTTGTTGCGGTTACAATGCAGAGTGTAAAGTAGTAAACCACAATCCGATTTGTACCTGTCCAAATTCTTATACCGGCGATCCATTTTCAAGATGTTTTGAAATTGGTAAGTGTTAAAATAGTCTGTTTAATTTTTGTTTATAATATATAATTATTAGTTTTATCATCGACTTCGTTTGAGTAGAGTTCAAAATCGAAATACTACATTTTTAAACTATAATAAAAATCTTATGTTACTTTTGACAACTATGTCATTTCTATATACGTTTAAGTCTTTTTAGCGTAAAGATAATCCAACAGACAAATTCATAACATAAATAAATAAATTTAAAAGGAAGTCAGACTTCTCGTATTATTTTTAGACATTTAAGGAAATTATTCTTAATAATGTTATCTTGTTTTTATTTGTAGCTCAAATTTTACCAGACTCAATTAACCCTTGCACTCCATCACCATGTGGACCACATTCACAATGTAAAGAAACAAACGGAGCTCCGGCATGTACATGTTTGACAGGTTTCCATGGTCAACCACCTTATTGTAAACCTGAATGTATAAGCAATGAAGAATGTTCATTAGAACAATCTTGCGTCAATAATAAGTGCAAAAACCCGTGCGAAGGCACTTGTGCTCTGAATGCAGAATGCAGAGTTATTAGCCATTCACCTATATGTTTATGCCCGCAAGGTTTTATCGGTGATCCTTTTATTCAATGCACACCAGAAGTTTTTCAAACTGAAGATATCAATCCTTGTTCACCATCTCCTTGTGGTATAAATGCCGAATGTAAAGAAAGAAATAACGCTGGGTCTTGTACGTGTATAGAAGGATATCTCGGTAATCCATATGAAGGCTGTAGACCGGAGTGTATAGTTAACACGGATTGTCAATCGAACAGAGCATGTTTAAAAAACAAATGTGTAGACCCATGTCCAGGTATTTGCGGAAGCGGAGCTACATGTCAAGTTGTAAATCATGCGCCTTTATGTACTTGCATACCAGGCTATACTGGAGATCCTTTTAAATATTGCGTATATCAAGGTAAGTTGTTGATAATATTTCAGTAGTAAAAAAATTGGGAACATTAAATATCTATTAGAGTTTCCAATCTGATAATAAATGTATGTTTGGTTTCAGAACCAAAACCATTACCAGTTCCTTCAGATGTGTGTTATCCGTCACCATGTGGACCAAACAGTCAATGTAAATCAGTTAATAATCAGGCCGTGTGTTCATGTCTACTAGAGTATATTGGCTCTCCACCTAACTGTCGTCCTGAATGTGTAGTCAGTTCCGAATGTCCTCATGACAAGGCTTGCATCAATACTAAATGTGTGAATCCCTGTCCGAAGCCATGCGGTGTAAACACAGATTGTAAAATAATAAACCACAGTCCAATATGTACTTGTAAATCAAGTTATACAGGAGATCCATTTACTATCTGCACTTTAATTAGAAGTAAGTATTACTCTATATAGTAATTAATAATAATTAATTTGAGAATTTCAATAGAACAAATAGCTTAAAAAATTAATCATAGATAATGCGGTGTATTCAACGACTTTAAATTTAACGAAGCAATTACTATGTCAAAATATAATGTAAAAAAAGGAAAGTAAATTATCAAGATATTTTTTTATCTTTGCAGATCAGCCTGTTCCGACACAAAATCCTTGTTACCCATCTCCGTGTGGCCCACATTCAGAATGCAGAGAAATTGGCAATACACCATCTTGTTCTTGCTTACCAAGTTTCATAGGAATTCCTCCAAACTGTAGACCTGAATGCACCATTCATTCCGATTGCTCCAGTGACCGTGCATGCATAAATTCTAGATGTCAGGACCCATGTCCTGGCTCTTGCGGTGTTTCTGCTATATGTAACGTTCAAAATCATATTCCAATATGTTCCTGCAAAGAAGGAGATTTGGGCGATCCCTTTACTTTATGCAAGCCACAACCATTACAAGGTTAGTAAGGATAAAATTATGTAGGTAAATATAAACAAAAGTAATTTTAATAGATGTAGCACTATTGTGTGTTATTAAGTGGTTTTTTTTATACATATATATTAATATATATACTCGACTTGTTTCAGTGGAATCAAGTGTCATTGATGACTGTACGAATATCCGATGCGGACCCAATGCGGAATGCGTTAATGGACAATGCGTATGTTTACAAGATTATCATGGTGATCCTTATTTTAATTGTAGACCGGAATGTTTATTTAGTACCGATTGTCCCCAACACCAAACCTGTGTCCAAAGAAAATGCTTAGATCCATGTATAGGCGCATGCGGTCAAAACGCTATATGTCAAGTTGTAAACCATATTCCGATGTGTAGCTGTCAAAGCGGTTACACAGGGAATGCCTTCGTAATATGTAATCCTGTAAGAGGTAAATAAATCAATCAGGCAATAACAATATATATTTCAAAATAATTTTGTAGTTTAATGATTCATAAAAATTAATTTAATATTTATTTTATAGAGCAACCAATAGAAAATCCATGTGGTTCGGCAGTATGTGGACCTAACAGCCAGTGTCGAGTAATAAATAATCAAGCTGTATGTTCATGCCTCCCAACTTATTTGGGTATTCCACCAGCTTGTCGTCCTGAATGTGTTGTAAATGCTGAATGTTCACAAAATCAAGCATGCATTAATCAGAAATGTGTTAATCCATGTATCGGGGCTTGTGGGCTTCGAGCCACTTGTGAAGTCATAAACCATAATCCAGTATGTGCTTGTCAGTCAACATACACTGGAGATCCATTTGTGGAATGTACATATATCCAAAGTAAGTTGTATATAACTGAACTGTATATTACAATGATGTTCATAATTTTATTACATCAATAGTTGATACGAAGTATTAGTTCATTTTACCCTAAAATTCCATAAATCTTATTAAATAAGCGACGAGCTTACCAACTATTATATCAGTATAGAACTTTATTTTATAGATTTCTATGAATGCTGGTTCAACTAACATTAATTTTGTTTTAGACATTCCTATTCCTGTTGTAAATCCATGTCAACCATCACCATGTGGACCAAATTCAATATGTCAAGATATCAATGGATCACCGTCTTGTACATGTATGCCAGAATTTAAAGGAACACCACCTTACTGTAAACCAGAGTGTGTAAGCAATAGCGAATGTCCTGTACATTTAGCGTGCGTCAATCAAAAATGTAAAGATCCCTGTATACAGGCATGTGGTATCAATGCAGAATGTGGAGTTGTTAGTCACTCGGCAATGTGTTTATGTCCACAAGGATATAGCGGCGATCCTTTCACCCGATGTTCAATAGCACATACAGAAATCTTAACACCATGTACTCCTTCCCCTTGTGGCCCTAACGCAATTTGTAGGGAGCAAAATAAAATAGGATCATGTGTTTGTAATGAAGGATATTTTGGAAACCCATATGAAGGATGTCGACCCGAATGCGTAAGTGATTCCGATTGCCCAGGAAACAGAGCATGCCTAAATAATAAATGCCAAGATCCTTGCCCCGGAACATGTGGAATTAATGCTGAGTGTACCACTATCAACCATGCTCCTAGATGTACCTGTTTATCAGGTTTCACCGGAGATGCATTTAGACGATGCAATTTTATACCACGTATGTATACTGTTGCTATATTAACATATTTAGCAGATTGTGCGAAATTTGTATTGACTATTTATTTTTTTACAGTTGAAGACGTTATTCCAATCAACGTGTGTAATCCAAGTCCATGTGGACCCAATAGTGCATGTAAGACAATTAATGCCCAAGCAGTATGTAGTTGCTTGCCTAATTACGTTGGAACACCGCCATCATGCAAGCCAGAGTGCACTCTTAATTCCAATTGTCCGTCAGATAAAGCTTGTGTGAATCAAAGATGTATCAATCCCTGCCCTGGACCATGTGGTCAAAAAGCAGAGTGTAGAGTGTTTAATCATAACCCAATTTGTAGTTGTAGAACAGGATTTACTGGAGATCCATTCACTAGATGTTATCCTAAACCAGGTGAAATATTCGGTTAATGCAACATTTATTTACATCAACGAATAAAGATCTATTTGCCCTTACATATATGTTTTTAAATTTTCAGTTTTCCAACCGCAATTAGATGAAAGAGATCCTTGTGTACCATCACCGTGCGGCCCAAATGCGGAATGTCGAAATGTTGGCGGACAACCATCATGTTCTTGTACTAATAATTATATAGGAAGTCCCCCTAATTGTAGACCTGAATGTATTAATAACCAAGATTGTATCAGTTCTTTAGCATGTATAAATGAAAAATGTAAAGATCCATGCCCTGGTTCCTGTGGACAGAACGCTAAATGTAATGTGATGAAACACATTTCCATTTGTAGTTGTTACGATGGATATACAGGAGATCCATTTACGGGATGTCAACTGCAACCAATCCAAGGTACCATTGAATTCGCTGGTCGCTTTGCATCTTTTTCACTCGATTTAATCCACTTGTGCTTTCTATGATTGTCTGGAATTTATATTTAATGAAATAGAAATATAAAAAAATATTCACATTATTTTCTTTGCAGATGTGCCAACGGATCTTTGTAACCCGTCACCGTGTGGATCTAACGCAATTTGTAATAATGGACAATGTACATGTATCATAGATTATCACGGCGATCCATATGTGGCTTGCCGACCTGAATGTACAGTCAGTGCAGACTGCCAAAGAAATGAAATTTGTGTTAATATGAAATGTAAAAATCCGTGCCCGGATACCTGTGGTATAAATGCAGTTTGTGAAGTTTTTAATCATATACCGATATGCAGTTGTCCCACGGGTTACACTGGCAATTCCTTTGTTGCTTGTAATATTAATCCCGGTAAGTAAGTCATGCCATTACTTTAATATTATAACAGAAAGTAACTTCATGAAAATAGGGGAAGAATAACTCACTGTGTCTTGTCGGTTCTTCTCAATACAAGGTCTGCTGCTGATTTTGTGACCCGATAGCATAGTTCTCGACTGTCGCAAGTGGTTATAATATTTACTGTTTTTCGAATGATTTTTTTTTTGTGAATTTTCACGACTTGTAGTAATAATCAATATTAGACAACATCACATACTAACATTGTTTAGATCTATCTATTATAATAAGAAACTGAAATAATGAAGGTACCAAAAGTTCAGAACCCAAGATAATATAGGGAATTCCGGGAGTTGAACATGTGTTCAATTCCTGGCATGCGAGCCAATCAGCCATGGAAGTTGCCAAATATGCTATCTTAATATTTTTCTAATCATATTTCAGACATGTATTATTTAATCTAAGTATTAAATCGATATTTATTGTTTTCCAGTCGTTTTACCATCGAACCCTTGTAATCCATCACCATGTGGACCAAATAGTCAGTGTAGAGAAATAAATAGTGTGGCGGTTTGTTCCTGTATACCAGGTTATTCAGGAAATCCACCAACATGTAGACCAGAGTGTACTACCAGCGCAGAATGCCCGCTAAATAAAGCATGTAATAATTACAAATGTGTTGATCCATGCAAAGGCTCCTGTGGTATTAATGCTCTTTGTGAAGTTGTGAACCACAATCCAATTTGTTCATGTCCAAGAGACTTTACAGGAGACCCATTTACAAGATGTATTGCAAAACGTAAGTTACAGTTCTGTATCATTAAAAACATTTTATAAATAACCCTCACTTTATGGGGGTGAGGTTTCAGGATCCACCGGTCCCAACTCAAATATCATATAAAATAAATTATATAAAATATTTTGCTATTAAAAACAACGGAGTAAAAAATTCTGCTCTGTCGCACAGTATTTGCCAAGCGCCTGGAGGAGGCACGTGTATTTTGTTTTTTGAAATATTACGATAAAATTCTTAGAAATAATAGAAACAGTAAGTATTTTGGGATATAAATGATAAAAATCATAAACAAAAACATAACATTATCAAGAAAAGTCTCTAATGACCATTTTAATGCAATAATTTCGACGTCTGCTATTGCTCAAACTAGAAAGCGAAGTGAAAGTATACACTTATGTCAATCCTTCTGCAGCGATATTTGGGGATATATTATCGACAAAGCAAGGGGCAGCGGTAAGGGCTGAATGTAAAAGTAGTAGTTTAGTAGTAGCTTAGTCATAATAGACTTGTAAGGCAAACTCGAAAAATTTAATCATTTTTCTAAGTTGCGCAGCGTTTATCATGATTGTCATTTCGAGGTTAACTCTGACCCAATACTCTTAATAAGATGGACCTTTACTAGATTTATTTTACGTGTCTTACGCTATTAAATTGTTCTTTCTCTTTTAGCACTTCAGATTCCAGTACAAATAAATCCTTGTTTACCATCACCATGTGGACCAAACTCACTATGTCAAGCTATTAACGATTCGCCGTCATGTTCTTGTATGCCAGACTTTATAGGAAATCCGCCGAATTGTCGCCCGGAATGTACTAGCAATAGTGAATGTTCAAACAATTTAGCTTGCATAAACAATAGATGTGCAGACCCTTGTGTCGGTACTTGTGGGTCTATGGCAATATGCCGTGTGACTAGTCATACACCTAATTGCGCATGCCCTCAAGGATTTTTTGGAGATCCGTTTGTACAATGTCACGTACAAGCACTTGAAAGTGTTCCAGAAAAAATAACACCTTGTTCACCATCGCCATGTGGAAGTAACGCTATATGTAAAGAAAGAAATAAAGTAGGATCATGTAGCTGCTCGGCTGGATACTTTGGAAATCCCTATGAAGGTTGTAGGCCAGAATGTACAGTTAATTCAGATTGCCCATCGAACAGAATATGTCAACAAAATAGATGTCGTGACCCATGTCCAGGCACATGTGCTGAAAACGCTTTATGTCAAGCTGTTAATCACATTCCTCTTTGTACGTGTGTAGCTGGTTACACAGGAAATCCATTCCAAAAATGCTATATAAGACGTAAGTGTGAAAAACAATAATGTAATTTTAAAATTACATTGAAATCTTGCTTCTTAATATGTTTTTCTTCTTTCAGAAACGGAAACATCTACAAATCCGTGCACTCCTTCACCTTGTGGTCCTAACAGTGCTTGCAAAGTGATAAATGAACAAGCAGTGTGCAGCTGCCTTCCTGAATATCGAGGTGCTCCACCAAATTGTCGACCTGAGTGTGTTATCAGCGCCGAGTGTCCAGCGAATCGTGCATGTGAAAATCAAAGATGTGTTGACCCATGTAAAAACCAGTGTGGGCTAAATACCAATTGTCAAGTGATTAACCATAGCCCTATATGCTCTTGTATTGAACGCTACACTGGTGATCCATTCAGTCGATGTTACCCAATTACTATTAGCATCCCTAATCAAGTTGAACCATCAAGAAATCCATGTTTGCCTTCACCTTGCGGGCCTTTCAGTGAATGCAGAGATATTGGACAAATTCCATCTTGCACTTGTTTACCAAACTATATAGGTGCACCTCCAGCATGTCGGCCACAGTGTATAATTAATTCGGATTGCCCCAGCAATTTGGCATGCATAAATCAAAAATGCGCAGATCCTTGCCCGGGATCATGTGGCTTAAATGCTCAATGTACTGTTAATAGAAATATGCCTATTTGTACCTGTTTTGATAAATACGTAGGGGATGCTTTTACTGAATGCAAACCACAAGGTAAATATTTTCTTTAATATGTTGATAAATATTTTATTGGAATTAAACTAAATTAAATAACAAAAAAGTGTATTACAGCGTCATATTAGAGATTTGATACTATATGAAATGTTATATATTTTTATTAAATACTATCCGTATTTCCTGCGATTTCGCACACATAAATAGCAGCCTACTTCATCCGCGTGTAATGTGGCTTCCTATTGATATATTTTTTAAATCGGTGAAGTCGTTACGGAGCCTATTTAATACAAACAAACCATCAAATATTTTTTCTTTACAATTTACCTATACTTAGTTTATATAAGCACTCTTGTAATTAGGTCAAACAGAATAAAATAATTGTAATCTTTAGAATGCTTATTTTTTTACAGAAGTCATTGAAGATGAAATAGATGCATGTAATCCATCGCCATGTGGTCCTAATGCAATTTGCAATAATGGTGAATGTACATGCCTACCCGAATATCAAGGAGATCCATACTTTGAATGTCGTCCTGAATGTGTCTTAAGTACAGATTGTCCTCATAATATGGCTTGCCTACAAAACAAATGTGTTAACCCTTGTAGAAGTGGCGTTTGTGCTATAAATGCACTATGCGAAGTAGTCAATCATGTACCAATGTGTAGATGTCCCGAACGTATGTCAGGAAATGCTTTTATTCAGTGTTCACCAATAGAAGGTAATTAAATCTAGGTTATGTAAAATAAGTATTATTACTTATATGACGCATACAACTGAAATATTTGGCATTATACTGTATATTGCAAATTGTTGAAAACACCACAAATGAAATATTTGGCACAGCATTATACTGTATATTGCAAATTGTTTCTATTGGATTAATCAAAATTTGACATCTAGTTAAAATACCTTTCAAATATTAGTCACTAAAATGATAATACATAAATTATTATTGTTGATACTGCCTTGTAATAAAAACATTTTCTATTAAAATTGATAAAATCAAAACAATTTTTCTAATTTTCAGTTGTTCGTCCGGAACCATGCCAACCAAACCCTTGTGGACCAAATAGTCAATGTCGCGATATTAATGGCCAAGCTGTATGTTCCTGCCTTATCGGTTATGTCGGAAACCCACCGTCTTGTAGGCCTGAGTGTATAGTGAGCACCGATTGTTCACCCAGTGAAGCTTGTAGTAATAGAAAGTGTATTAATCCCTGTCAAGGAGCGTGTGGAATCGAAGCTATATGTCAAGTTGTAAATCATAATCCCATATGTTCGTGTCCATCACGTTTCACCGGGAATCCCTTCGCCAGATGTTTTGTACAAGAATTCACACCAGAACCGATAAATCCATGCATTCCATCACCATGTGGACCTAATTCAATTTGTAAAGAAATTTCTGGAAATCCTTCATGCTCGTGTATGATTGGCTATTTTGGATCTCCACCGTATTGTAAGCCAGAATGCATAAGCAACAATGAATGCCCATCTAATCGTGCCTGTATTAATGAAAAATGTGCTGATCCATGTCCAGGATCATGTGGTAGTAATTCTGAATGTCACGTAATAAGCCACTCGCCAACATGTTCTTGCTTGCCTGATTATACTGGCGATCCATTTACACAATGCCAAAAATATGATATAGTGCAAGATACCGCAACTCCCTGTCAGCCATCTCCATGTGGTGCTAATGCTATTTGCAAAGAATACAACGGAGCTGGTTCTTGTTCTTGTTTACCAGAATATTTTGGAAATCCTTATGAAGGTTGTCGGCCAGAGTGTGTCATTAATACAGACTGTCCATCAAATAAAGCGTGCATAAGAAATAAATGTGCAGACCCATGTCAAGGAGCTTGTGCTCCTAATGCGTTATGCCAAGTTGTAAACCATTCTCCATCATGTATATGCGAACGTGGATTCACTGGTGATCCATTCCGGTTTTGTATAGCTGAACGTAAGCATTAGTACAATTAAAAAATATATTTAAATACTTCTATTTAAATACTTCTTTAAATAACAAATATATTGTACTTTTTAGAAACATCAGAAAAACCTTTGGATATATGTCAACCATCACCGTGTGGACCAAACAGTAGATGTCAGGAAGTAAACAAACAAGCTGTATGCTCTTGTTTACCTGACTACATCGGATCTCCACCTAGTTGCCGTCCAGAGTGTATAGTTAGCTCACAGTGTCCCAGACACAAAGCCTGCATAAATCAGAAGTGCCAAAATCCATGTGTTGACGCTTGTGGATTAAATGCAGAATGTAGAGTTATAAATCACAGTCCAATCTGTCAATGCAAAGTAAGATACACAGGCGATCCCTTTACGAGATGTAATCCTATTCAACGTAAGTGTCACACATTTTATAAAAGCAATTGACATAATTTTTATAAAAAAAATATTTTATTTTATTCTTATTGTTATAGCTCCATTATCTAATCCAGAATTAGAGCCCTATAAAAACCCGTGTGTTCCATCGCCTTGTGGTCCCAATTCGTTCTGTAAGGAAATAGGAACGGTACCATCTTGTACTTGTATGCCTAACTATATTGGAAGCCCACCGAATTGCCGGCCTGAATGTTCGATTAATGCTGAGTGCCCAACGTCAGAAGCTTGTATAAAACAGAAATGTCGCGATCCTTGTCTTGGTTCTTGTGGAATAGGAGCTTTATGCTCGGTATCACAACACGTTCCAATTTGTACTTGTCCTGAAGGCTACGCAGGTGATGCTTTTACAGTATGTTCACCGCAACTACCAGGTATGAAGATTTCTATAAGATCATTTTTTTTATATAACGCAATGAATATTAATAATTTATTTCCTACTTTAGAAAACGATGCCATAGATAAGTGTAAACCATCACCCTGTGGACCAAATGCTGTGTGCAATGATGGAATATGTTCATGCGTAGATGAACATCAAGGCGATCCCTATATTGGATGCCGCCCAGAATGTGTCCTAAGTTCTGACTGTCCAAGAAATAAAGCATGTTCTAAAAACAGATGTATTAATCCTTGTGAAGGCACGTGTGCAGCCAATGCCATTTGCGATGTAATCAATCATATTGCTATGTGCAGCTGCCCTCAAGGAATGACTGGCAACGCCTTTTATAACTGCGAACCCCTGAAAGGTATTTTTATCTACTATAATAATGAATTTGAAAAACATTAAAAATATGTGTTTTATTATGTGTATTTTTTCAGTTCCAGTGCAGATAAATCCTTGTCGTCCATCACCTTGTGGTCCTAACAGTCACTGCAAAGAAATAAGCGGTCAAGCTGTGTGCACTTGCGTGAGTGGCTATATAGGAAGCCCACCACTATGTCGACCTGAATGTGTCGTTAGTTCCGACTGTCCACCAAACAAAGCTTGTAGTAATCAGAAATGTATCAATCCTTGCACAGGAGCTTGTGGTGTAGGGGCAGATTGTGATGTAATAAAACACAACCCTATATGCTCATGTCCTATAAAATATACTGGGAATCCGTTTATTCGATGCATACCTTTTAGTAAGTATTTTATATTTTATGATGCTTATTTTGCATTCACAATGATATACATATTTATATTCCTATTAAAGAAAAATGCTTCAAAAGTTTTCACCAGAACCAGGTGCCCGATGGCATTCCTATTACGCTACGAGTTATTCGGTTATATATATAAGAGATATTCATTAGGTATTTTATTTCATTTGTTCAGACCAGCTCAATCCAGTATCTCAAAAAAGTACCTTAGCGCATTTTATGAACAGATTTCTTTACAATTTTGAGTTGCAAATTGTCAAAAAGCCAGCGCGAGAGGCCGTAACGAACAATAGTTATTATGCACTATTTATTTTTGATTACGAGAGAACGCCAAAATTGATAATTTCACGCGAAATTCACAGTCGGGATGTAATAGGGCTCTTGTGATGTATTCGAATTATTGTATTTAGTGAAGCACCCCAGCTGTTTGGTGTATAAGTGAATGTTTGTTAGCATTTTTCTTTACAATTTTTAAACTTTTTTTTTTCCTAATACAGAACCTGTGGACCTTGACGTTACACCTTGCATACCATCACCGTGTGGTCCAAACTCAATTTGCAAAGTAATCGGAGAAACACCTTCATGTACTTGTATGACAAACTACTTTGGTTCACCTCCCTATTGTAGACCAGAATGCACTAGTAACAGTGAATGTCCATCTAATCAAGCATGCGTTAATCAAAAATGTGTGGACCCATGTGTAAATGTGTGCGGAGTAAATGCACAATGCAAAGTTATCAGTCATTCCCCTGTCTGTTTCTGTGAAAATGGTTACACTGGAGATCCTTTCTCAAGTTGTATTATACAACAAGATATTTTGATAGAAAAACCGACACCATGCCAACCTTCGCCATGTGGATCAAATGCAATCTGCAAAGAATATAATGGCGCTGGATCTTGTGTATGTCTTTCGGATTATATTGGTAACCCATATGAAGGTTGCCGCCCAGAATGTACTGTCAATACCGATTGCATGTCAAATAAAGCATGTATAAGAAACAAATGTCAAGATCCATGCCCTGGAGTATGCGGGCCTTCAGCGATATGTGACAGAGTCAATCATTTACCTATATGCTCTTGTCCACCGGGATATACCGGAGATCCTTTTATACTATGTCGTGTTGAAACAGGTAACTGGTGCCATACATTCAATTATAGTAACAACCTTAAAAATTCTTATTTTGTAATAAGATTTGTCAGTGAGCACAAGGCGCGCTTATAACTTATGCGCATAAAAAATATTTAGCTATTATTTTTGGTCAATTTTGTATTCACAATGCTATACTGAAAAATATTCTTGATGAAAGCTGCTTAAAAACTATTTTTTTCCTTAAAAAATAATTAATTAATTTTTCATTAACGATAAATACTAAGCTTTTAAAAAACATAACATTTTTATTTACGCGTTTGATTTTTGTTCTAGAAATAATATCCGCACCAACTCCATGTATACCTAATCCATGTGGCCTTAATAGTGTTTGCCAACCTGTAAATGGACAAAGCGTTTGTTCGTGTATGCCTAATTACATTGGATCACCACCTGGATGTCGACCAGAGTGTACTATCAGTTCCGAATGTTCAGCAGAAAAAGCCTGTATAAATAAAAAGTGTGTCGATCCTTGTCCTAGACATTGTGGATTAAATAGCAACTGCAGAGTAATTAACCACAGTCCAATATGCTCTTGTAATTTGGGTTTCATTGGTGATCCATTTACTCGCTGCTTTTTGCAACGTAAGTATAATATTAGTAATATTTTTCTTTTGTTTTAATCTATATTTCTTAAGTATTTATCATATTAACTAATTACAATAATCCTATGTTTGTTATAACCAACAGAACAGGAGATATTGGAACCAAATAAAAATCCTTGTGTTCCAAGTCCATGTGGCGACAACGCAATATGTCGTGATATCAATGGATCACCATCTTGTTCTTGTATGCAAGATTACCAAGGACAACCACCGAACTGTCGACCTGAATGTGCAATTAATCAAGATTGTTTATCAAATAAAGCATGTGTGAATATGAAGTGTCGCGATCCATGTCCCGGTAGTTGTGGACAAAATACAGAGTGTACCGTTTTTAACCATCATCCAGCATGCACATGCATACCAGGTTACACGGGTGACCCGTTCTCATATTGTGTACCTATTCAACCAGTTGAAGGTGATTAATAATTAGATAGTATAGTGTTATTTGTTGATAGAATTTGGTTTAATAACTATGTACATTGATTTATCTTATTTTACAGATGAAACTCCTACAGATCCATGTAATCCATCACCTTGTGGATTTAATACCAATTGCAGGGATGGTATATGTACGTGCTTATCAGATTACCATGGAGATCCTTACTTGGGCTGTTCACCAGAATGTGTAATCAACATGGATTGTCCTCAAGATAAAATTTGTTCGGGAAATAAATGCACGAACCCATGTCCTGGCATATGTGCCACAAGTGCTAATTGCAACGTCTATAATCATATACCTATTTGCACATGTCCTGAGGGAACTACAGGAAACGCTTTCATTGAATGCAATGTTATTGAAAGTAAGTAAATATCTTATTAAAAGTAATTAAATCTTAAATTACTTACATAACTTTTGGTAACTCTATACACTGTAATTTATTATTTGTTACAGTTGTTCACGCAGATCCTTGTAACCCCAGTCCTTGTGGTCCAAACAGCCAGTGCAGAAGTATAAATAATCAAGCAGTATGTTCATGCCTACCCACTTATATAGGAAGTCCTCCAACCTGCAGACCAGAATGTACAATAAGCGCAGAATGCCCTCAAAATGAGGCGTGCAATAATCACAAATGTATTAACCCTTGTTTAGGTACATGTGGTTACAGAGCAAGATGTGAAGTTGTTAATCATAACCCAATATGTTCATGCCCAGCGGAATATACAGGAGACCCGTTTACGCGCTGCGTCGCCAATGGTATATTTCTTACTGTTACCTACAATATAAAAAAAATAAGAATAGGATTAAGAAGACCTAACTGAGAGTTTTCATTTTTTATCATTAATATTATGTCTAAATAATTCGACAAATTGAGTTACTTTCTAATACTTTATAGGAGTATAATAATGGATATATCCAATATGTACAATATATATTATTAAAGTGTTAAATAGTAAGCACGAGCACACACAGTGACAAAAAAGCAAAGCAAATCAAATCGGGGAAGTTGCTAAATAAGTAATTTATAGTTAATCTAATTTAACAGCATTAGCTCGTTTAGATAGGAAATCCATTTGAGACCTTATAAATTAATCGTTATCATATTACACATGTGAGGGTATATTTCTAGGACCGTATTTGTACACACGGCTGTACGTCATAGACGGTACAGATTCCCACTGAGAAGTTTAGCCGTGCCTTCTTGGCGTGTTGAAATACAAAGGAATAAGAAAACTAAAAACATATCACATTCACGAGTCTCGGGTTCGTAAGGCTTCTTGGCATGAATCTGTCCGGTCTATTAGGCTACCACAATATGCCAAATTGTTTTCAAATTATTTTATACTCGACCTTCAATATATTAAGGTTTAAAACACGTAGATAGAGACAGTTCTTGTATAGCGCGACGTGATCTTGATTGTACTACAACAATCTTACCTGTTTAAGTAAATTATTTTGATTTTATTTTAATTACTAGTATTTTTTTCAACATATTATCATGCTTACGTCACAGAATAAAATATATTAAGAATAAGTATTACAAATATAAAGATATTCCCTATCAGTAAATATCTTTATATTGATGTATACTCATACATTGAATGACATTTTTTTATGATTCCAGTTGCTGAACCCTTGCCACCTGTTGACCCTTGCACACCGAGTCCATGTGGGCCATATTCCGTATGCAAAGTTATAGGGGAATCTCCATCATGTACTTGTCAATTAAATTACATTGGATCTCCCCCCAACTGTCGTCCAGAGTGCATTAGTAACTCTGAATGCCCCAGTAATGCAGCCTGTGTAAATCAAAAGTGTAAAGATCCATGTCCGGGTAGTTGTGGTTATAACGCCGACTGTAAAGTTATTAGCCATGCTTTAGTTTGTACTTGTCCCTTCGGTCAAACAGGAGACCCTCTGATATCGTGTCAACCAATACGAGGTATTACTTAGAAAATTTAATTTGATGTGAAATTAATTATACTAATTCCATATTACATTGTTTCTTGTTTTTATTTCAGATATTCCTATTGAATATAATTCGCCATGTGAACCTTCTCCTTGCGGGCTGAACGCCGAGTGTACAGAAAGGAACGGAGCTGGATCCTGCAAATGTATAGAATCTTATGTTGGTAATCCTTATGAAGGATGTCGACCAGAATGTATTGTTAATAGCGATTGTCCGCCTATGTTGGCCTGTGTCCAAAACAAATGCAAAGATCCTTGTCCTGGCGTTTGCGCAAGGAATGGAATATGTCAAGTTGTGAATCATTTGCCATCTTGTTACTGTCCACCGGGTCTTACGGGCAATGCATATACATATTGTGTTGAAAAAACAGAAGGTATGTCTACAAGTTATGTTGTAGGTAAGAGATTTTGAGATTTACTATGATTTTTTATATAATTTTTTTTCATTTTAGATTTTACTAAACCTGCACCCTGTACACCGTCGCCATGTGGTCCAAACAGTCAATGTCGAGAAGTGAATTCCCAAGCCGTATGCAGTTGTCAGGCAGATTTCGTCGGAACGCCACCAAACTGTAGGCCTGAATGTACTATCAGTAGTGAGTGTGCAGTTGACAAAGCCTGTATCAATCGAAAATGTGTAGACCCTTGCTTAGGTCAATGTGCAAAAAATGCCTATTGCAAGGTGATTGCACATAATCCGATGTGTTCATGCGCAGAACGTTACACTGGGGATCCGTTCACAAATTGCGTACCAAGTAAGTTAACATTTAATATTAAGTTATATAGGACTATACAAATATTAATAAGAAAGTATGTACTAACTAAAAATATTTTTAGCGCCAATATCAATTCCAACACCGGAAGTACACGCATATCCTTGCGTGCCTTCTCCTTGTGGACCGAATTCACTATGCCAAGAATATAATGGAATAGCACGTTGTACTTGCCTTGAAAACTACATAGGAATACCACCACGTTGCAGACCAGAATGTACAATAAATTCAGAATGTAGTGCTATAACAGCATGTATCAATAATAAATGTAGTGATCCTTGCCCAGGAGCCTGCGGAAATAACGCACAATGCAGTGTTTATAATCATGGGCCCATATGCTCATGCTTGCCTGGCTACTCTGGAGATCCTTTCAGTAATTGTAATATTATACAAGGTAAGATATAGTTTTATTTTATTTCTTATTCTACTTTAGAACAATCAGTATTACGAGTAAAAATGTTTTATCAATTTAAGACGTAGAACCCGTAAATCCTTGTTTGCCATCGCCGTGCGGAGCTAATGCTATTTGTCAAGAAGGCACCTGCTCCTGCTTGCCAGAATATTATGGAGATCCATACTTTGGATGTAAGCCAGAATGTGTTCTGAATTCTGATTGCTCACGTGATAAAGCTTGTATAAAGAATAGATGTCGAGATCCTTGTGTCGGAGCATGTGGAAATGATGCACACTGCGAAGTCTTTAATCACATACCTATGTGTTCTTGCCCGGCTGGATTTACTGGATCACCATTTCAATATTGCACAAAAATAAATGGTAAGTGTACTTGAAATAAATAGATATCATACATATATTTGTCTTTTTATGATAAATATGTTTCGTGCTTAATACAAAATGGTATTTTCCAGAACCACCAATATTGACTAACTTATGTGAACCTTCTCCTTGTGGACCTAACAGTCAATGTAGAGCGATCAACGGACATGCAGTTTGTGTCTGTGTAACTGGATATATTGGTAGTCCTCCGAATTGCAGACCAGAATGTGTAATTAGCTCTGACTGCAAATTAAATCAAGCATGTTCCAACCAAAAATGCATAGATCCCTGCCCAGGGGCATGTGGACGTAATACGCAATGTATAGTTGTTAACCACAATCCTATCTGCACATGTTTGCCGGGATTCTCTGGGGATCCGTTTTCAACCTGCCAGTTCATCCGTATGTATTAAACCTTGATTTTTAGCTTTATATACAATCACTTGTTATCATTTGTTTTATTTTTATTATTTTGATTTTAGCTGCAACGTTGCCAACTAAAGTAAACCTTTGCCTTCCTTCCCCTTGTGGACCTAATTCGGAGTGTACCGAAAGCAATGAGAACGCACAATGCAAATGCTTACCTGAATTTATAGGATCTCCACCAAACTGTAGACCAGAATGTACAAGTAATAGTGAATGTTCAACCAATTTGGCCTGTATCAATAAAAAATGCCGCGATCCTTGTCCTGGTTCTTGTGGTTTGAATGCTGAATGTAGAGTTGTAAGTCATACGCCAATTTGCCGATGTCAACTGGGTTTTTCTGGAGATCCTTTCATCTCCTGTAATATTGAAATTGCTAATTCAATTCAAGAACGGCCAACACCGTGTGTTCCTTCACCTTGCGGGTCTAACGCAGAGTGCCGAGAACGCAACGATGCAGGATCGTGCACATGCTTGCCTGGGTACTTTGGCAATCCGTATGAAGGTTGTAAACCAGAATGTACAATAAATTCTGATTGCCCATCAAACCTTGCTTGTTTCCAAAACAAATGTAAAGATCCTTGTCGTGGTACCTGCGGAATAAATGCTCAATGCGACGTCATTAATCACATTGCAAGTTGCTCGTGCTTCGATAACTATTACGGTGATCCTTATAAAATCTGTAATATAAAACAGCAAAGTAAGTGTAACATAATTTTAAAATAGTTTATCGATACCATATAAGTTATCATAATTATACGTGACCTACATTTTTTTTTCTTACAGTCGAAACAACAGATCCATGCAACCCATCACCATGTGGTCCAAATAGTCAATGTAAATCTCAAAGTGGACTAGCGATATGTATTTGTCTAAGCGGCTATCAAGGATCACCGCCGATGTGTCGCCCGGAATGTTTAACCAGTACTGAATGCCCATTAGATAAAGCCTGTGAAAATCTAAAATGCGTATCTCCATGCCCTAGCAGCTGTGGAATAAATACTGACTGCAGAGTTATAAAACATAGCCCCATTTGTAGTTGTAAACAGGGTTATACCGGAGATCCATTTTCGGTTTGTAATATTTTGCCTGAAAGAGAACCAACACATATAGAACCATTAGATCCATGTTTACCATCACCATGTGGATTAAATGCAGAATGTCGAAATATTGGAGGCATACCCTCGTGTACTTGCGCACTTGGATTTATAGGGAGCCCACCAAATTGCAGATCCGAATGTATTATAAATGAAGATTGCATCAACGACAAAGCGTGTATTAATAACAAATGTCAAAATCCATGTCTGGGTGCATGTGGATTTAATGCATTATGCAATGTTGTCAAACATGTCCCAATCTGTTCATGCCCAGCTGGATATCGAGGCGATCCGTTTTCAAAATGTGATCTTAAACCTCCAGGTAATTCATAAATACCTATATTAACTGCAAAATATAAGTATATACAGATAATAATACTGACTACAATATAGCAGCCCTATGATTGCTTATATTTCTACTTAGAACTATGTCGTCCAAAGTTTTTACATAACACTTTTCGTATTTATTAATAAATGGCTTTACACTTCTGAATTTATTTTAAGCTTAATTTTGAATAATCGAATGTTTTATATACTCAGTTCCGTTTTATTTCAGAAACTGTGTCTCTACCTGATCCATGTTATCCATCACCGTGTGGCGCTAATGCCGAATGCAATAACGGCATTTGCAAATGCTTGCCTGAATATCATGGCGATCCGTACTTCGGTTGTAGACCTGAATGTGTGCTTAATAATGATTGCCCTTCTGACAAAGCGTGTTTACGATCAAAATGTGTGAACCCATGTCATGACATGTGTGGTATAAATGCAGAATGTAACGTATATAATCACATTGCTGTTTGTAGTTGTCCATTGGATATGACGGGTAATGCATTTACACAATGTATACAAATCCCAAGTAAGTAATATATTGGTAACATTTTGTTTTTATGCATATTGCATTTTATACGTGTGACACAATATCTTCTATATTTTTAGAACCTACTGTTACAAATCCATGCCAACCATCTCCATGTGGGCCCAACAGTGTATGCCGCGATTTTAATAACCAAGCAATTTGTGCATGTATACAAGGATATGTCGGAAATCCTCCAAGCTGCAGGCCGGAGTGTATTCAAAGCAGCGATTGTCCACCTTCGCAAGCCTGTATAAATCAAAAATGCCAAGATCCATGTCCTGGATCATGTGGCTCTAATGCTGTTTGTAATGTTTACAACCATAATCCAATATGCAGTTGTCCCGAAAAATATACCGGATCTCCTTTCACACGTTGCTACGGTATGTGTCATTGAATAATTTACTTATTATATTTAATAAATTTTGCATCGAAACACGCTTTAATGATCATCTGATACTGGTCAATTTACTGATACTGATAACTACTTATACTTATTCTGTAGTTTTCATTTATATATTATTATATAACTGTGATATTTCAATTGGGTAATAGATGATCTGAATGCGTCGCGTCACGAGAAGCCATATTTATAGTTTGGAAATTTTGACATGTATATAGAAACCAGAAAGTGGATACAAATTTAAGAATTTGTATTACTTCTGTGTAGCCTCTCTGTGTTTAATATGCATTTGGTAATGAAACGGAAGAAAAACGCGAAGTGAGGAGTTAATACAAAATAAAATGACGTAAAATACTCTTTCTCCCAATGAACGCTTTCGATTTATAAATTTAATATTTAAATAAATTATTTACACAGCATTTTTTATAATTTCAGTTATTATGGAGGATCTTCCGCCTAGCAACCCTTGCATGCCTTCACCATGTGGGCCAAATAGTATCTGTAAGGTTACAGGGGAAAACAATGAACCCACTTGTTCTTGTCAACCAACATTTGATGGCACACCGCCACAGTGTAGACGAGAATGTATAGCGAATGATGAATGTCCATTAAATAAGGCATGCATCAATTATAAATGTGCGGACCCATGTCCTGGATCATGCGGTATAAATACACAATGCAATGTCCACTTACATAGCCCAATATGTTCTTGTCAAAACGGACATACCGGTGATCCGTTCGCATCATGCTATCCAATAATATTTACGCCAGTTCCCATAGATCCATGTAATCCATCACCTTGTGGGGCAAATGCTCTTTGCAAAGTATCAACAAACGGTGCAGCTGCATGTCTTTGTGAAAAAGACTATTTTGGCAATCCATATGAATCTTGTAGACCCGAATGTACTGTCAATTCTGAATGTCCATTCAATAAGGCATGTCTAAGGAATAAATGTGAAGATCCATGTCCAGGAACTTGTGGACCAACGGCTATTTGTCAAGTCATTAATCATATTCCGATGTGTAGCTGTGCAACAGGATATACCGGAAATCCATACTCTTATTGCCATTTTATCATAGACGAACCAGGTAATTGACTATAATTATTTAATTACACAGAAAGATACCGTTAGCATATGCACTCAAACAAAACTATAAAAAAATAATAATTCTCAATTTTGATGGTAATTAGTAATATTATATTTATCATTACCGATTCATCATGTTGAAATAAAGTATACAGATATCATGTTAGATACATATGTATCTATATTGACTTTGATCTATTGACTTTAATTTATAAGAGAAATAGAAACTATTCTAATCTTAATAATTTGTGAATCCATTATTTATATTCATATGTAAATTATATTACAGTTATAACGCCACAAGACCCGTGCACACCAAATCCATGCGGTAGTAATTCGATTTGCAAGAATCAAAATGGCCAGGTTTCTTGTTCTTGTATGCCTGACTTTTTCGGTGCACCTCCAAACTGCCGACCTGAATGTACTATCAACTCGGAATGTGCAGCTACAAAGACGTGTATAAATCAAAGATGTGTAAATCCATGTATCAGAGTTTGTGGAGAAAATGCTGAATGTAGAGCTGTAAACCATGCACCTATTTGCAGTTGCATACAAGGGTTCGAAGGCGATCCATTCATAAGATGTACGCCTATAAGACGTAAGTTGCAATTTTTTTTGTATAAGAATTTTAATATGAATATTGTAAATGATGAAGTCGATAAAACACGATATTATTTTTTCAGAATTACCAGCGCCAGATTTAAATCCATGCGTACCATCGCCCTGTGGTCAGAACTCACTATGTCAAGTAACAAACAAAATACCAATATGTACTTGTATAGACACATATATTGGATCTCCTCCTAATTGCAGACCCGAATGTACTATTAATTCAGATTGTGCTAGTAACAAGGCTTGCATCAATAACAAATGTCGCGATCCTTGCATTGGGTCATGTGGTATAGAAACAGAATGTCATGTATACCAACACGCTGCTGTATGTAGTTGCAGAGAAGGATTTACAGGAAACCCTTTCCAAAGTTGTCACGTAGTCGAACACATAGGTATGTATCTAATTTAGATGCCAATCAACTAATATCATTGTACATTAATTATATATTGTATAATGGATGGTTTGTCTTCTTACTTTATTTTGTGTAAAATTATAAACAGGTTATGAGAATTGTCAATTTTTCGTGTTATAAATTCATGTTTGGATATCAATGAGCAATAATAAATTGGAAATATAAGGAGAATACAGTTTCATTTTGGCGCTCTAAAAGTTGTCTTAAAATCTCATGTCTGTGTTGTTACTTATTGAAGGTCACAAAAACAGTTTTCAAAAAGTTTCCATCGTCAAAATTATGTTTCCAGAAAGTTGTTTTATAAGAAAATATGTACGATTTCTTTACTTTTTTTTTTAGAACCTGTACCTACAGTTTTCGACAAATGTAATCCAAGTCCATGTGGCTCAAATGCTGACTGTAACAATGGAATATGTACATGTAAGCCCAATTATTTCGGCAATCCATATTTAAGTTGTCGACCAGAGTGTACGCACAATTCAGACTGTGCTTTGAATCAAGCCTGTCATAACAACAAATGCATTGATCCATGTATAAATCTGTGCGGTCAAGGAGCATTATGTGAAGTTTACAATCATATACCTATGTGTAGTTGTCCAACGAATACTACAGGAAATGCATTCTTCTCCTGTTCTGCAATTACAGGTAAAAACAGTATCATTTTTTCACTATTTGCAAAACTATTTCCCAATGTTTCCAAAATTCAACGGATATTGATTTGTTTTTCTTTCAGCTCCACCAGTACAAAACCCATGTGTGCCTTCTCCATGTGGTCCTAACAGTATATGCCGTACTGTTTACAAGCAAGCTGTGTGTTCGTGTTTGATAGGCTACATCGGTGTTCCACCTTCATGTAGACCGGAATGTTTGGTGGATTCTGATTGCACCAGCGCAATGTCATGTTCAAACCAGAAGTGTGTTGATCCTTGTCAAGGCTCATGTGGTCTCAATTCTGAGTGTAAAGTACACAACCACAAACCTATTTGTTATTGCCCGAATGGCTATAATGGCGACCCATTCACTCGATGTATTATTCAACGTAAGTGATGCCATTATAATATTACAAATTAGTTTAATTACCCATGAAGACTTTTATTGATTATTTTTTGTTAATATAGATGAACCATTACGTCCAAGTAAGCCTTGCGAGCCATCACCCTGTGGACCAAATTCTGTATGTAAAGTCCTTGGCGATGCACCATCATGTTCCTGTATGCCAAATTACCTAGGAAGCCCACCATACTGTCGTCCAGAATGCATAACAAATAGCGAATGCAATTTCGACAAAGCTTGCGTCAATAAAAAATGTGTTAATCCATGTATAGGAGCATGTGGAATAAATACAGATTGTCGAGTTATAAGTCACTCACCACAGTGTGTTTGCCGATCAGGTTATGAAGGCGATGCGTTTAGTCACTGTATGCCTGGTAAGTATACGAGTCACTTAAATAATTATGGCAGAATGTTCAGTAAATTCTTTTTTAATATTCAATTTATAATTCTTTCTAGTACGCTTTGAAACTCCAACACAACCTGTTAAACCATGCTCACCAAACCCTTGCGGTCTCAATGCCGTATGTCAAGAACGCAATAATGTTGGTAGCTGTACATGTTCCACCGGATTTTTCGGTAATCCATATGAGGGATGCAGACCGGAATGTATAGTGAATTCTGACTGCCCCGATAACTTGGCATGTGTTGTTAACAAATGTCAGAATCCTTGCACAGGACTTTGTGGAATAAATACTATATGCCAAGTGGTAAATCATGTACCTAATTGCATTTGTTTGCAAGGCTACATAGGAAATCCTTATGATAACTGCATTATTAAAGAAGGTAAAATAAATGTACAATAAATAAAAATTAACTAAATTAGTTGTGAGCAAATATATGTACTAAATTTATATATATTTTATTTTACAGAAGCTAAACCAATCAACCCCTGTCAGCCTTCACCATGTGGACCTTATAGTACTTGTCAAATATCCAATAATCAAGCTAATTGTAGATGTTTACCTGATCATATTGGTGTTCCTCCAAATTGTCGCCCAGAATGTTTGACGAGTCCAGAATGTCCTTTAAATAAAGCATGCGTACGACAGAAGTGCGTAGATCCATGTATCGGAATATGCGGTCAAAATGCTGAATGTCGAGCTCATCGTCATAGCCCATACTGTACATGTATAAACGGATATGAAGGAGATCCATTTACCATATGCCTAAAACAAAAACCAGTACCAATAAATATAACTTCTCCTTGTATTCCCAACACTTGCGGACCTTTCTCAATATGTAGAGAAGTTAATGGTGCTGCAATATGTAGTTGTAAAGAAGGTTACATTGGTGCACCCCCACATTGTGCACCAGAATGTACTATTAATGAGGATTGTCCTAATGATAAAGCCTGCGTGCGTGAAAAATGTATCAATCCCTGTATTGGCTCTTGTGGTGTCAATACTAATTGCCGAGCAATTAATCATCTAGCTATATGCACATGTGTGTCTGGATATCGCGGCAATTCATTTGAAGGTTGTTATTTATTAAATGGTAAGTGTCTATCAAGTTAAATAAAATTTTTAATACACTATCACTATACTTTGGTCACAATCACACATACCTACAAAACTTTAATATCGAAACAAAAAAAATATTATTATTTAATAACCAAGAAAACAAGTCCCAATAGCCTAGTATTTAAGCGTAGGTATCTATTCCGATGGCCGTTGATGGTAGGTGTTGATTTCGATACGGATGAAGACAGTAAACGAAGATAAATACATTTTTTTTCTTTTAGTTTTTAATATACTATTACCGATAATCACAGCGCGTGACGTCATGCCCTTCTGACTCATATCAAAACTTAGAGAATTCAACCTTATGCATACATAAAATGATATTCGTTTCAGAGTGCCGTGACGTCATAGCGACGCAACGCCACGACTAGTTTTGAAATTAAAATTTATTTTTAGATTTTAACTTATTTTTTAAATTGTTTTTTAGATATATTTGTATATCTATAAAATAAAAAAATATTAAGAAATGTCTACACCCGTATTCTTTCGTAGGTTTACAAGTATAGAATTTTATCGCGTAAACGTATACTGAAACTGCCAAATAACTTAATTTATTTTATTTTTTTACAGAGCCTGAAGTTACTTCACCTTTAGATCCCTGTGTAATATCACCTTGCGGTATTAATGCGATTTGTGACAACGGAACATGCTCATGTATAAATGGATATCACGGCAACCCTACAATAGAATGTCGTCCCGAATGTACAAATGACAACGAATGCTCAAAACAGATGGCTTGTGTCAATTACAAATGTATAAATCCTTGTATCAACGCTTGTGGTGTTGACGCTGTATGTAACGTTTATAACCACCTCGCCATTTGTGAGTGTCCCACACCGTTACGAGGAGATCCTTTTATAGCATGTCGTCGTCTTGTTGGTGAGTACATATATGATTTGTATTTGGAAATTGTTCTGACAAGAATTTTATTTAATTAATCTATATAAAAGTGAAATTTATGTCATTTCACTGTAAAAAAGTACAATAATTTTATATCTATTTAAATGATGTATCGGACATGGTTATTCCCAAAGAATAGATCTATGGCAACGGTTTATTTATATGTGTAATTATATTTTTAGAATTAACAGTATCAGATCCGTGCACTCCAAACCCATGTGGACTTAATAGTATATGCCGCGCTGCTGGTACCGTGGCACACTGTTCATGTCGTCCAGCCACGAGTGAGGAGCGTGGACCTGGCTGCAAGGTGGAGTGCCGCCGTGATAGTGACTGTGCTTTAGACCGAGCTTGTCGGAACAACAAGTGCCAAGATCCTTGTCCTGGTGCATGTGGAGCGCATGCAATTTGCCGTACCAACTTTCATTCACCCATTTGTTCATGCCCGGTTAACTATATAGGAGATCCTTTCATTCGTTGCTTACCAGGTAAAATAATTTTATAATAAAAGTAATAAGGAATGAAATTTATGAAAAATTAACTAAATCTTCTATTTTCTATAGCGCCCCTTGATACTGAGCCGAAGTCAGCCTGCTCCGATTGCGGTCCAAATGCTGATTGCTTCAATAATCAGTGTCAATGCAAGCCAAATTTCCTTGGTTCTCCTCCATTCTGCCGCCATGAGTGTATCAATTCCAACGACTGCGACATTCGCTTCATGTGTCTTAACAAGCGTTGTGTCGATCCCTGCCCTGGAGCTTGCGGATTCGGTGCACAGTGCACTCCAATATCACATGAACCACATTGCGACTGTCCTCCTACAACAACAGGAAATCCACTTTTGGAATGTCGTCCTCTCAAGATTATCCGTAAGACAAGATTTACATGAAATGCTGTTGAAGTATATTTTATTGCTAACGAACGAATGAAAAAATATAGGATCTTTAATCTTATTGGAAAAATATCTCGAATGCTGCAAACATGTTTTCGCATTTAAAGCTTAGGCATGGGTTTTACTTGTGAAACTGTGTGAGCTGCTTCTTGAGACGTGACGTTATTGTTCGCTTAACATAAGCGCTTTTCTCTCTCGCTGTAACCTATTTCAAAATAATGTGTAGAATGTCATAATATTATTTGATGTTTTATATTACAGCTAAACCAAATGATCCTTGTACCCCATCCCCATGTGGTCCGGGGGCAATATGTCGTGCAAGAGGAAGTGGCGCGTCTTGTGAATGCGAGGCGGGTCTTCATGGTGATCCTTACACAGGATGTCGTCCAGAATGTCTGGCCGACTCCGATTGCTCCCCGTCACGGGCCTGCATTCGCTCAAAGTGCCGCGATCCCTGTCAGGGAACTTGCGGTGTTGGTGCAGAGTGTGAAACAGTTAATCATATACCACTTTGCACTTGTCCTACTGGAACTAGAGGAAACGCCTTTGAAAGATGTGACATCATTATTACAGGTATTTTATATTTTTTTTTTATAAAAATAAACTGTAAGCGGTACTTACGAGTATTACGACTACAATCCGACACTATTTTTGGAAGAGAATATATCTCACACCAGCCCTTTTACGTCCCCACTGCAGGGGCTCAGGCCTTCCTTATGGATAGTTAATATATAATTGTTTATAATTAATAAAGCATAAGCCCATGTTTATGTCTCGAGAATCTATATATCTGACTTTATTATACATATTAAATTCCTCATACTCTTATCGCACGATTTAAAAAATAAAAATTTTTTATACTCACAGAACTTTGATGTTAAATTACGTGTAGTTTTTTTTTTTGTTGTTTACTGCTAACAAAATCAAGTAATTTGCTGTTAAATATCAAACAAATTTATAGGCAAATTAATTATACCTAATATTTTTTGGTAGCGCCACCTTGTACACCTTCACCGTGCGGTCCAGGTGCAATATGCACAGTATCAGGAAACAATGCAATATGTTCGTGCCCTGCTGGTACTAGTGGTGAAGCCGCGTCTGGAGGCTGTCGACCCGAATGCATTGTAAGCTCAGAGTGCCCTCGTGACCGTGCATGTGTGCGGAACAAATGTATCGATCCATGTATCGGCGCCTGCGGCAATGGCGCTCTATGTCGCGTAATCGACCACGCCCCTATTTGTTCATGTCCTTCACTTACAACTGGTGATCCATTTTTGGAATGCCGAACTACAGGTAAGTCATGTTTTTTAAAAGTTAACATTTATATTGCCCACTATTTGTAATAATATAGAATGTCATATATTTTAATACATTTTATGTTAATTTAACATAATATTATTTTCATTTATACCGCTCAATTATTAAGCTTTCTCAACTAAGCTATAATCTGTTACAGAACCATCACTTTATGATGACCCGTGCGATCCAAATCCATGTGGACCACATGGAACATGCCGTGATGGATTCTGCACATACCCAGAATGTGTTGTTAATGATGATTGTAGCGGAGACCGTGCGTGTATTAACCGAAAATGCACTGATCCATGCGTCAGCGCCTGCGGTCTCAACGCGTTATGTACAGTTGTGAGACACGCAGCCGTTTGTTCATGCCCGACTGGATATACAGGCTCTGCTTTTGTACGTTGCGAACGTATCTTGATAGCAACTCCGCCACCACCAACACCAGAATGTACTAATGATAACCAATGCCCGGATAATGCCGCGTGTGTAGATACACACTGTACACCAGTTTGCGGTCCAAATAATTGCGGAGTTAATGCTCACTGTATAGGAAGACAACACAGAGCTCGCTGCGCTTGCTTACCTGATTATGAAGGAGACGCCTATAGAGGATGCTACTCGGGTAATTTATTAGTGATAAAATTAATATTTAAAAACCTACCCAATTACATGTTTCGCTTTTGTCATATCAGTGAATCACATCACATCAATGTATTTCAATAGAAGTGGTACCGGTATCAACATAAAAATTCTCTCTTCATTTAATAAAAATTATTGATTCCTTATATACTTTAGAAAATCATGACTTTAAAAAAAAATAATACTTCGGACTAACTTAACATCAAATATGCATATTGAATGAGTTATTCTTTATGGTACATAAAATTCTTTAAAAAATGAATTCAAATATTAGTTATTTAAAGACTGAACTGAGTTGTTTCAAGAATAATGGTCAATCGATCATAATATATCCAATAATCAGATAGACCACAAAACATTTAGCTAAGTAAATACGAGTTATTAAAATTTAAATATATTTTGCAGTCCAATGTCACAGCAACAATGATTGCCCTGATGATGAAAGTTGTGAAGGCAACTCCTGCATTAAAGTGTGCTCACGAATACGCTGTGGTATAAACTCTCATTGCGTCGCAAGAGGACATATTGCGTCATGCGAATGCGATGCCGGCTCTCGTGGCAATCCTTGGACCGGTTGCCGTAGTTATGAATGCAAAGTAGACGAAGATTGTGCCTCTTGGTTGGCCTGTAGAGAAGGTAATTGTCAAGATCCATGCCCAGGAGCTTGTGCCCAGGGAGCACTTTGTACCGTTGTACGCCACATACCATCTTGCGAGTGCCCTCGAGGCACCAGTGGTAATCCAAAAATTGAATGTAAACCAGGTACGTAAAAGTCTATATTTTGTTATAGATATAAATTTACGTAAACTAACAGTTTTTATATTCCATAATTATATTTCCAGCACTTGAACCGGTTGAATGTGAAAAAGATGCTGACTGTGGACCTGGTCTAGCATGTCTTCAAGGAACCTGTAAAAATCCATGCGAGGCCACATCATGCGGCGTGCGAGCTGTTTGTCGTGTTGCTAATACACTACCATTCCGTACCCTTGTATGCGAGTGTCCTAAACCACTTAGTGGAGACGCATCCGTACAATGCAATCCAAGTAAGAATTTATTTCTGATCAAAATAAAATCTCATCTTTCATTTATTACTAAGAGAATTATTATTACATATTTTAATAACTTTTCTTTCATAAACAGTTTCAATTTATATTTGCATTTTGACTCATCGTGGATATATTTACTCAATGGACTATACCTTCTAAGAGCGTAAGTCATACAGATGGTAAATTTTTAATGTACTGAAAAGGTATTTTAGCACATTATCTGCACTGTAAACTGCATTCACTTATAATCTATTTAGATTCACTTGTAAATACAAAAAATAACCCATGCCCACAACGATGACTGTATGTATAGTTAAAATATGTTTTAACATTACGATATCTACAAAAATATTTTGACTATGAGCAAACCTTATAAGCATGTTATGTATTTTTTATTGTATTTATACATTGAGTTTTATTTTATAGCTCGCTCATAGTCATAGCCAACGATGATTCAGAATTATGAATAAGAAAACCCCTCATCTGTTATTTGATTGTGAGAGGGTTTAAATGTTAGATAACATGTACATTTATCGTTTAGTACCGGGTTGGCTAGCTAAGACAAGGCCATCGCTATTAAAATAATGTTCACTGTACGTAATTTTTTTATCAATTTGTAATCATGATAATGGAGCATTTAACGAGAGAACACGTCCGTCCAAAACAATGAAAACAAAAAGTTTTTCTCACAAACAATAAGAGGGATTCCACTCACAAACAATAAGAGGGATTTCATTTGTTATAAAAAAAAAATTTTCCTGTTCTGTGGTTAAAATTGTCATCTATTTTAGCCGTCTACTTTTTATTTATTTAGGTTGGGTGTACTCTGGTTGATTTTCATGATAGGATAATGTTAATTGATAAAAATAATGACAAACTCGGATCATTGGTTTACACTGATGGTCTCTGATTTAACATGACAACCCGGTACTAAATTGTTATACTTTATTATATTAAAAATAATTAAGAGCTTGTCTAAATGTCAATTTTCCATATAAAATTAATTGTGTATTTGTTTATCCAGAAGAAGAATGTACATCAAACTCAGACTGCAGCGTAGAAGAGACATGCTTAAATGGTCGGTGTACAGACGTATGTGGCACAGCAGCGTGTGGCTTTGGCGCTGAATGTCGCGCCACGTCACATGTTGCGTCTTGCCATTGCATCCCTCCGCTACAGGGTAACCCTGCTGTCGGATGCACAACACGTTAGTTTATTCATTATTTGTAACCTCTTACATGATTAGAATCCATGAGAAACGTATAACAAAAATATATTTTTAGCGGGTCAACCAGCGGAGTGTACTTCTGATGAAATTTGTGGAGCTGCGGAAGCCTGCATTTCTGGACGTTGTGTGTCGGCGTGTGCTGGAGCTTGCGGAGCTAATGCACTCTGTTCTCCCATAAACCACCGTGCTAGTTGCCGTTGTCCACCTGGCACTGCTGGCGATCCATCACGCGCTTGTTATACACGTAAGTTATATTTGTTACCATGACAATTATTATGAAATTTAATTAAAATTAAATGGATTGTGTAAATAATTGGTTATTTTTTGCAGCGGAATGTACAAATGATGATAACTGTCCATTTGACAAAATTTGTGTAAGAAGCTATTGCCAGGACCCATGCGTACTCGGCTCACCTTGCGGACGTGATGCCGTGTGTGAAGCGGTAGCACACGTAGCTACGTGTCGCTGTCCTCCAGGCACACAAGGAGACCCACACAAAGCATGCATATCCGCCGTTTGTCATTATAATGAAGACTGTGATGACACACAGACCTGCAACAGGCTCAATCGAGTCTGCCAATCGGCATGCTCTGACAACGCATGCGCACCAGGTGCCACTTGTACAGCTCGGAGTCATCAACCTATTTGCACCTGTAGACCAGGTCTTTCGGGTGATCCATATTTACGGGGTTGCACTAAAGAAAATACTGTTGGGTGCACGCGAGATTCAGATTGTGCTGCTCCACTTGCATGTGTTAATGCTCAATGTATCGACCTATGCCTAAGTAATCCCTGCGATGTTGGACTCATCTGTAGAACTGTTGACTTATTGCCTCTTCGTGCAGTTGCTTGTGTCTGTCCGGATGGTGGTCGTGTTGCTCCAGATAGTGGTTGCAGGTCTCCACCGGAAGCTGAATGCTCAGCGGACTCGGATTGCGCCCTGAGTCAAATGTGCCGTCGTGGAAGTTGTGTCGATGCGTGCAAAGCCGATCCTTGTGGACAAAATGCACTTTGCGAAACCGTTGACCATGCATCACATTGTACATGTGCCCCAGGATACATAGGAAATCCAAGACTTGAATGTAACGTAGAACCAAAACAACAATTCCCAGAATGTTTTACTGATGATGATTGCAATACCGAACAACAATGTCGCGACAGATTCTGTGTAAATCCTTGTACAAATTCATGCGGTCCAGGAGCTTTATGTCGAGTCGTCGATCATAAGCCATATTGCGTCTGTCCTAAAGGGCATACAGGAGTGGCTACTGTTCAATGTGTACCACGTAAGTTACAAAAATATAGTTATACATTTAAAATATTTTTAAGCAGCTAGCAATATATTTGAATAAATCCAATAAATTGTATATTTTTTACAGCTTCAGATGGATCAATTACTGTGGGATGTAAAGCGAACTCCGAGTGTCCGTTATCACAAGCATGTATTAATGGAGCTTGCGCCAACCCCTGTGCTTGTGGACCTAATGCTGAGTGCACTATTGTTAGACATCATCCCGTTTGTTACTGTGCACGCGGATTTTCCGGAAATCCCTATACAGGATGTACAAAAGGTAGAAATTTCTTAAATAATAGTTCTATAATACCAAAAAGTAGAATCTGTAATTATACAAAAACCATATACTATTAAATGAATAAATATATCAGACGCTAACAAATTAGTTATCATATATTAAAAGATGGTACTTACATAAAAGAATTAAGTTCAAATAGAAATTAAGAAAACTTTTAAAATTAGTTTGTTTTTTTATTTAGAGAACAAAAAATATAATTTTGTTAAAAAAATTTTTTAACACTTTCTGCCAAGGTAACAGTTGTTTGTCTTGATTGTCATTATTTCATAGATTATAGTGAAGTGGCCACTCAAGTAATGGTTAAAAAGGTCATTTCATTTCAAGCTATTTTAACAGATTTCAAATAAAAGAAAGTTCTCAGTTTGACTCGAATGTATGTATGTTTGTGCACGATTATCTAGCATTTGGCTGAACAGATTTAAGGGCGCGGTTTCCACAAAAGTATTTTACGTGTTACTTATTAAAAAATAACCATATCACTAAAAAGCATCAAATAAAAACTTTAAGAAATAAAACCAACTTCAAACTTAAAAAAGTGAAAACTAATACTTATCTCAAAAGTGACTTATCAACGAAATACTATTGAATTCGCACGCCTATCATTTAATTAATAACCCACAGAAAAGTAATCTAAGTTTTTTTACATTTCACAAGGCAGTAAGTCCTACTTTTATCAAATTAAATAATCAGTTGATAGAAATGATTATTAAAAAAAATCAGAAACTAAGTGATATTTAAGTATAGACAGTTTGAGACGTTCTTAACTTTATATTTTTAATTTAGCAAACAGGTGTAAGAGTACCTAATTCCAAGATAAATAAATTAACGTTTAGTAAAAATACATTAATATTTATAAGATACTTTTTTTTGCAGTTGGATGTTCTTCGGACAATGATTGTGAAGACAGCACAACGTGCTATAATGGAGCCTGCGTAAACCCTTGCGTATTAGAAGCACCTTGTGCAATCAGCGCAGAGTGTTATGGTAAAGGTCATCGACCAAACTGCCGCTGCCCTGCGGGAAGTAAAGGAGATCCATACACAAGGTGTAATATCGTAGAATGTGAAATAGATAATGATTGTGATGATAATAGCGTTTGCGTAAAAGGTACTTGTCGCAATGCTTGCTCTCCTGAAGGGTACAATCCATGTGCAAGCAATGCTGAATGTTATGCAAGAAACCATGCAGCATCTTGTAAGTGCCCTCCTGCCCTTCCTCTTGGAGATCCAGTGATTCATTGCCATAAAATAGCTGTAGTCGGTGAACCTGAATGCCATTTCGATAGTGACTGTCCTAGTGGCCATGCATGCTTAAGAGATGAATGTCGGGAAGCGTGTTCTGAACTAAAACCATGTACTGGAATTTCGCGTTGCTCCGTTTCGGATAGTGTTCCATTCCGTACTTTGGTTTGTCGCTGTCCTGAAGGATTTGTACCAGAAGAAGGGGGCTCTTGCAGAACTGCCCAATTACCACCTCCTAGCTGCTCTTCGGATCAAGACTGTAGCGAACAAGAATCTTGTGTTAATAGAATATGTCGTAACCCTTGCAACTGTGGAGAAAACGCAGAGTGTTTCGTCCGCAATCACCGTCCAGTCTGTTCCTGCCGAGAAGGTTTTGATGGTGATCCTTACCGCTCTTGCCGTATTGTCGGATGTCGAACAGATTCGGAATGCGAGTCAAAAGAAGCATGCATTAATGGAAATTGCGTTAATCCTTGTTTGTTAAATAACGATATATGCGGACCGAATTCTGATTGTTTTGTAGAAAGAAATCGTCCATTATGTCGATGCCGAACTGGTTTTGAAGGTGATGCTGTTGTGGGCTGTAGTGCAATAGAATGCAGAACAAATGGGGATTGCCCGTTAGACAAGCAATGTCATGCTCATAGATGTATAAATCCATGCCTATTTGGTCATAGCTTATGTGGAACAAATGCCATATGTTTGGTTCGAAATCACAACGCAGTTTGCAAATGTGAAGAAGGTTTTATTGGAAGTCCATATATACAATGTAAGCCTGAAATTACACCTGAATGTACCGTTGATGCCGATTGTCCATCAAAGTCTGCTTGCCTGAATTCTAAGTGTGCAAATCCATGTACATCTTTAAGACCATGCGCTACACCAGCACGCTGTGAAGTATCACCTACCTTGCCAGTTCGTACAATGCTTTGTACGTGTCCTCCTGGGTATGTGAGTAGCGGCGGAGGTGTTTGCAAACCTTCTACCTCAGTATCTGATGTATCCTGTGAAATCGACAACGACTGCACATCTAATCATGCATGTATAACTTCTCTGTGCAAAAACCCTTGTGATTGCGGTTTTAACACAGATTGTGTAATAAAAGACCACAAACCAGTGTGTGCTTGTCAGCCTGGATTTATCGGTGATGCTCGAACAGGCTGTTATAAAGTACTATGTAGATCTGATTCACAATGTTCAGATGATGAAACTTGTGTTAACAATCACTGCGTACCGGCTTGCTCTGTTGAACCAGATGTATGTGGAACGTCTGCTGAGTGCTACGGCTTAGAACACAGGGCAGCTTGCCGATGTGAGATAGGTACAACTGGAAATCCATCAATTGGTTGCACACCAATTGGCTGCCGTACGAATAGTGATTGCCCATTAGAAAAATCCTGCATTAATTCTAAATGTGTGAACCCGTGTACAGCGGGTACCTGTGAGGAACCAGCGGAATGTCGTGTCCACTTCCACGAGGTTCATTGCGTATGTCCACCAGGTTTCGATAGCACTCAGACCGGCTGTGAAAAAATCGACCAACCGCAGTGTACTTCCGATAGCGAGTGTCCGTCAGGCACTGCCTGCCTAAATGCGAAATGTGTGAACCCCTGCACCACAATAAAACCTTGCGGCACCAACGCTGAATGCCACATCGTTGACACAGAGCCCGTACGTACAATGATTTGCGAATGCGTACCTGGATATCGAGGAAATGCCCTAATGGAATGCACAGCTAATATACGTAAGTATGACATAATATACTACTGTAACTAGTGAAATTTTTGATTACTATTTTAAAACATAATTTAACATCATAGTACCTATATATACATACATACTGCAGTTAGCTGAATGTATGTATGAATTCTCAATACAATATTGTATCTCTATCCCTTGTATATATATATAATAAGTTAATACTATATTTCAGCACCAACAGCTAAATGTGTAGATGGACAAGGGCTTAATTCCCTGGGTGAATGTGCCCCGTGTCGCGCTGATGAAGGTCGTACAGTTGACTCTCGTGGCCGTTGCGTGTGTGACACTGAGCATGGATGGGCACCACGAGGAAATGTTTGCATACGTGTTATTTGCGACACCGATAGTGAATGTGGAGATCGAGAGCGCTGTCTTAATCGCATGTGTGTCGATGCTTGCGAAGCTGAACCCTGTGGTAAATTTGCTATTTGCGAGGCAACCGGACATCGTTCACACTGTAACTGCATTGCTGGGTACTCTGGTAACCCACGTGTTCAATGTAACGAAACAAATAAAAATATCACTAATTACCGTACCGACTTCCCGCTACCCGAAATGCAGGTAAGCAACACAACCATTATTGCACATTTTTTATTTTTATTTAATACATCATTAATTTTAAACAAGATTTGAAATAGTGATGCAACGAATACGTATTCGTCGAAGCACGACAAGAATTATTATACGAACACGAAAAATAAAATAGATTTATTAAAAAACTTAAAGTAAAACAAAAACATTACGGTTGGTTTTGAGTATATGCGAACGCATCAACGCCTACATATTATCTATACTTTGTTTATAAGGATGTATCCTGTAACAGATTACAAAGTGACATGCTTAGGGCACAGGAATAAAGAATATGTTCTTGACTCCAGTGCCTAGAGATTAATACTCGTCGATGGTGGTGATTTTTAACATTAGAAAAGTTGTGCTTTTTGAACAATATTTAGTAGCAAATTTAACTTATATTAAATCTCGCACTAAAATTATTCAATTGTTCGTATTTATTGAAAAGTATGTATATATGATATTCGTATTCGGTGCATTACTAATAAGAACTTTATTTCATTCCTTCCCTATTAATGAAATGGAATACCGAATAAATAATGTATAATTAATTCTATAATTTCTTTCAGGTTCACTGTCTTGCCAATGGTATACGTGTGAGTTTGAAGATTAAAGACGGCTTCAACGGACTATTATATGTAAAGGGCTACAGCAAAGACGAACGATGTGGATTGGTAGTCAACACACCAGTGAACCAAGAAAGTCCTGTAGACTTTACTGTGCAATTCGGAAATTGCGGCCTTGTTCACGTGAATGTACGTTAGGCCAAACAATATTCTATTTTAAGTCTTTTTTTTCTGAGAAATGTTACCACACAACATATATTGTTAATTTAATACAAAAATAATATAAAATCTTTTATACAGGGCTTGGCGAGTTTCGTCCTTGTGATGCAAGACCATCTTAAACTTGTAACATCTAACGCCAAGGCATTCCACATCAAATGCATCTACCAAACTGGCGAAAAGAACGTAACATTAGCCTTCAACGTATCGATGTTAACAACAGCCGGTACAATAGCTAACACTGGACCACCGCCTATTTGCGCCATGAGGATCGTGACGCGAACCGGCGACGAAGTCAGCTCTGCCACGGTCGGAGAAAACCTCAGTTTACAAGTCGACGTTAAACCAAGTAGTTAGTATCCGATTATCTCATATACACACAGCGGAGATTAAAATTTTATAACTGCCAATATCTGTTAATATATTTTCTATTTTAAATATGCGTATATTTATTTTTTAGGTATTTACGGTGGATTCGCTAGAAGTTGCATTGCGAAGACTAGTGAAGTTGCAACAAATATTGAAAACGAATATACAGTAACAGATGCGGACGGGTGCGCTACAGACCCGTCCATCTTTGGCGAATGGGAACATAATGATGATGGCACGTTGCGAGTGATGTTCAATGCCTTCAAGTTCCCTAGTAGTGACAATATCCGATTCCAATGTAATATTCGTATTTGCTTCGGAAAATGTCAACCGGTGAGTTTATCCAAACAACACATTCTCAGATGTGTGAACTAAAAGGCGATGGACTGTAATATTTAGTAAATAGAAAACACGTATCACCTCTTAAACTAGAGAGACTTCGATAACTTTTTTACATATTTGCCGAATCAAAAAGTAAACAAAGTACACTCTTAATCGAATGGCTCGCACATCGGTTTTAAGGTGTCATCTCTTGAAGGTGCGATTTCCTCTCAGGCCAATTAATAAAATAAACTTTATTATTTTGTCTCGGTTCTGGGTCTTGGAATCCGAGCAATTTAGATGATGTTTTCTAATAAAAATATTTATTATTTAATAATAATAATATAATATTTATTCAATAAATATATTTTATCTACACTCAAATCGAAAAATTCGAATTACGAATTTAAAGACGATTCTATGCATACGCACTTTATAAACGCATATACATAAAATTAAAATAAAACTCATTGTAATACCGCTATCTTTTTTCATTCATTAAATTAGTCTATGGTTTTAGGCTGAACTGTGAAAAAATGGCGCGCGCATAAATTCCTTTCTTGTAACCTATCTACTTTGTTTAATTTCATTTTTTCCTATGAGTGAAGATAAAGTAGTGTATGAAACTGCATATAACTTAGGTATTAAAACACTCGAGTCAACCTAAACAGACTCTCGTGTTTTAATACCCCTTCTTATATGACAGTTGCATAAACTACTATTATGGTAATAGTATAATTTAAATTATAATAAACTTATAAAGTTTCTCTATCCAATATGTATTTTATTCACAGGTTAACTGTCGCGGAAGAGATGCTTATGGAAAACGAAGAAAACGAGAAGCGATTGACAGCGACGGCTCTCTATCGGGCATCGAGGGCCAGCTGCGTGAGGAGGTGACGGTAGAGTCAAACCAAATCTTGACTCTCGAAAGGCGTTCCGCGTCCCGAGCAGCGCGACAACGTGAGGGCGGCGTGGGTGCCGGCGGCTCAGCAAGCGGTGGCGAAGTGTGCGTGTCGGCCGCCGGTTTAGCTGTGGCACTGGCACTGACAGCGTTACTAGCATTAGTAGCAGTAGCAGCAGCTGTAGCGTGCTGGCTAGTAGCATGGCGGCGGGCGCGGCCGCCTCCTGCGCCACTTCCGCACCCGCCCGACTTCCCCAATCCGCTGTTCCAGCGCTAAGCCCGCTAGTCTCGCGCCCCGCTCCTCCGCCGGCGCCGGGCGGTGTCGGCTCTTTCTACTCACTCATTCATCTGTGCGCGCCGCCGGAGGACCGCCGGGTGAGGGCGTCGCGAGTGCTGCGCTTTTCAGCGCCCCTCGCTTGCGCTCGTTGCGCCCTATTTTAGTTATATTTTTTAATATATTTTTATTCTTTTATTAACTTTAAATCGTCGTCGCCTCCTTCGAATTTTGTGATATTCATAATATAAATATTCGAAATCGTCATAATATTATGTAAATTACTGATTATATATTAGTTTAAATAAATAATAATAATAATATTAATAATAATGCAGTGAAGTTTTATTCCATCCAAATGTCAGAATGTGCACACAGAAGAGAGAAAGATTACTACAAACTTGATATACTACTTAATCTACAATCAACTGCACGTCAGACTATATAAAACTAATTGTAAATAAAAAATAAATAAGTGAAATTTTATAACTACCAACACTTATTTAGAACTGTCTGCAAAGAGCCTAAACTTCTGAAAAATGTAACCAAGGGACGACCCATGCTTCATCAATAGTTTGCCCTATAAGTGAAGAGTGCGTCATATATATTAGGTATTCTCTATTAGCAATTCTAGATAATAAGAAATAAGAATAAATATAACATGGTACTGTAGCTAGTAGAATTTTTAAGATAAAGCGTTTTCAATGATGCAGTACAACCATTTTTTCAATATATGTTAGTGTTTTCATGTTACTTTTCTTATTTTCTTCATAAAACAATTAGATTTTTTCTATATACCTTTGTTTGTAGGAAATAAATTGTGTACCTTCATTAATTGTATTCTTAAACTCAAAAAGTTTTATTTTCTCCGTTAAAATGTAATTTATATTACTATTAGCCTGATACAAGTACCAACTTTCAGTATGGAGATCAAACATTAGAACATAACAGCTGTTTTTTTTATTATGAAGGTATCATATATATTTCCTTTTTAATATATGAATTAATCCATCGACATTTTCTTTCGTATTGTAAAAAAAAAAACTTTAATTTCTCAATGGCTGGTTAAGCAAAATACATATAAAGTGACTTCTACGTATTTCACGCTGTTACTTATGTTATTTCCATGAAATACATAAATTTTCCTAATATTATATTTGGCAACTCGTATTTTTATAAAAACACGGACAATAAATATTTAAAAAATATTTGTAAAAAAATCAATAACATTAACAATGAAATATGACTTCAATCGATATTACTATATTGCATTAAGTATATTTCGTTTTGAATCCAATGAAAATTTCCATGGGATTATTGCATACCAATAGCCTTATAATTATTTATGAAGCAGGGTTGATCTTGAAACCCAACTACCGTATTGGTTAGATTCAATATAATTCGCGATCGATGTATTTATTGATCGATGTTAATACAAAACACTTATTACATAACTTATATAATTTTTTTTCATGACTATAATTTGACTAGAACTAAAAAAAAATAAAGTATTATAAAAATCAATTATTATCAAAATTTTTTTAGTTGGATTTCAGTAATTTTCATTGTCGCTATGATAAATAAAACCAAAATTTGTGAAAAAAGTCGTGCTCTAAATTTTGCGTTAAGGAAAACAAGGTTTTTTGATGTGATTTTTTTATACATTCCGTAGCTAAAATGAGATGGATTCTTAAATATAGTCTCTTGTAATTGGCTCACAAACTTGATTAAAAATATTCCAGGCTTATATTGAATTATTTCCGTTTTTCTCGTATTTGTATCAGGCTAGGTATATGTTTTTTCGTTATGGTTATATTAAGTTCGTTGTATGTATTTTTCATTTTTAAACATCATACCACTCTGGGGTTACATTGTGTCTAGGGAATTATACTTATGGTATAAATCGTAATATGAAACCCCACTAGATAGGCTGATTATATTTTGCGTTAAAAATTAAGGTATTTTTTTCTATGGTTTGTTAATTTGATCTCAATAGTCTCTTCCATATTCAAACATAATATTTCCATACATAAACAATAACAACCATACACAATAATACAAAATTAAAATTTTCTTTTCATAAACAACCTTTTTTGAACCAGATATTTTGTATAGGCAAATCAAACTAGTCTAAACTCGACGGAGTTGCGTTATTAGATTACAAAGATCCCATGGTCACCTTCAAGTTACATCATCATAACCTGGTTGTTGTCTTGTATCAACACCCTCGTTAGACATTTCAAATCAGCCTAAACTCTATGAAGATGTACCAGAGCTACCGAATTCAACTTGCAAGGTTTGGTCTACACTAACAAACTTAATATCACGGGAAGGTAAATAAAAGCTTGTAATAATTACCTACTTAAAAAAAAAATCTAGCAATTCCAAACAAGTTTTGCGATTCTGGCTATTCATATTAATCAAAGTTAATGAAAAATATAAAACCACATCTAAAAGTAAATTAATTGAGACACAGTTAATTTGAAATATATTCGATGTCCGAATAAACTATATTATTTAATAACAATAACATTCTCGACAATCCCAAACCAGTTAAGCCTTACTAGATTCCCGTTGTTATCTATACAACTAGCTGACCCGGTGAACTTCGTATCACTTACTTCTTAATAAAAACCATATTAATATTGAAAAATATTGCGTAGACTGACCACTACACGACCATAAATATTGATCGTCAACTGACCGTTTGACAGCTAACAACAGTTTGTATGGGAACATCAAATAGTCGTTTTTAGTATTATACTCGCAATTTTGTCATATTTTCTCATCGTTTAAACCTTCCCAGGACTTCCACGAATAGTTCAAGACTAAAATTTGTCAAATCGGTTCAGCCGTTCTCGAGTTTTAGCGAGACTAACGAACGGAAATTAATTTTATATATATATATATACATATATATATATATAAAAGGAGATGTCTTGACATACTGACTGACAGACAACGCATCGCACAGCTGTACTATAAACGGCTTTTTTTAAATTCCACCTCTAGGGGTTCTTTGTTTTTGGACCTATATCGATAAAAAGTGGTATTTGATAAATCTAAAGCCCTGCACGCGTAGCATGACAAACTCGAGAAACGCTTTGTCTACACTCATCTGTCAGTTTCTCGGGTCGAGAAAAGTGACATTTGAGTGTAGACAAAACGTTCTCGAGTTCGTCATGCTACGCGTGCTAGTAAGGTAATAGGTTATTTTTTATCGCGAAAACCAGCACTAAAAATGATAAAAATGGGAGTGAAAGTTCTTATGTGAAATCAAAATGTTACCACAGCAACCATTGTTTACTATTTGATTTGTCATTGTAGGAAATCTATCTAATATTATTTATAAAGATATTACCTTATATAGTGATGAACATTGGTATTTGAGTAAATAATTTGTAATAAAAACAATATTTTAATTACACTCCGAGAAAATATTCAAGTACAAATAATGTTTTATATGAAAGAAAACATGCTTTATATATTTTGAGTTGTGGTAGATGGCGTTAAGTATATTTAATTTTTTACAACGCATATTTATGTTTTACGATCCATCTGTATAAAATTTGATAAATAGCTTTAAAGAAATAAATATATGTAGCTTTTTGTTATACTGTCTTGTATGTTGTTGTATTGACGTTGTAATGGTTACTCAGCTGTTCGACGTTAAGCCGTGCAAAGAAATGATGGTATTCTATATTATAGGGCTAGCCGCCTAATTGAACCGATCTTTTACTAGTTGGCTACAACGTATTCCTTTATACGTATTAACCCAACCTATTTTTCACCAGTTGACACATAATCTCTTCAATTTAAACTTGAAAAAAAAACAGCTGTGAGTTTACAATTCGACTAAGCTATTGTGATTTATACTATTATTGGTTTATTTATTTCAGTAAATGTCTGGTAATCTCTTGTTATATGATGAAATGAGCGAAAAGGAGTCTATTATTAATTTCTAGTCTATTAGAATCGTTTAATTACTTCGTACTAATATTATTCATGTGAAAGTAGGTCTGTGCATATGTTTTAAACGCTCTCACGCCTAACCCATTAAACAGAGTTGACTTGAGATGGGACATAGGTTGCTTTTTATTGCGATAAAAAGGGTTGAAATAGGGAATTGAAGTTTAAATGGAAGTTCGTCATCGTCAAAGATAAAATCATGAAACTTTTTATTCAGATGTCTTACACGATATAATGAATAAATATTTGTATAAGCGTCTTTAGAAATGATAGCTAAAGTAACTATACCACGCAGACGAAGTCGCGGGCAATAACTAGTTTAGTAATATTTAAAAAAAAATGAGTCATGAGGAAACATCAACACACATCGCATTTATAAGTGAAATATCACGTGCTAGAAAAAAAAATCTATTAGAAGCAACTAAAGCCACATAATCACGATCGGAATTATTATCAAAGGTAGAGTCAAAATTTTTACGGTAAATATACACGACTCTAAATAAATATTACATAGCAAGTAATTATTTAAGAAGGATTTTATGAATTGCAAGTGATAATTTGGAGGGAACGAATAAGCTATTAGTAGAGGGAACTTGGCCGAAGGTGTGTGTTGTATATAATTTTATCTAGTTGTTACACAGCAGTTGCCGAGACAACCGGTGGAAGCTCACTTACTTCGCCTATAGCCAGCCATAGTCAAACATTCTTCGTTAATATGACAGCTACGTTGATTAATCCGACTATGAAAAAATATAGGCCTATGAGGTAGGTGTTCCCATTTTCTATCTATGAGCTCTATAGAAATATTTGTTTTTTTTTGGATCACATAAACTTATTGTACTGAACGTTGAAAAGCTACATAATTTTTTGGAAAAATATATGATGTATGGTACAAGGCTTATATGGAGTAATGTTTTTAAATAACGCTTTATGATAATCCAGCCTGTTGTCTTGTTAAAAGAATAAAATGTATTACTTATCACAAGTACATACCAGGCGTGCTTTTTGTGTTTTGTCGTTTACCTATTTACCGCCAATTTTGAATTTAGAAACGTAAAGCATTCGAATTCTTTTGAATTTAGAAGCTTACAACAACAATTAGTTTAATTGTTTACTGACGGCGTTATTTTGAAGTTGTCAAGTCACCTATGAAAATTAATTTCTCTAAAGAAAATTTTATGCCATAATTTTTTACAACTTTGAAAGAGGTCTAACGCGACTTCAGTGTTTCAAGGAGCTGACTTCTGTATTCAGTGATTAAGCTCCGCGTCTATGGATCATCGAGCGCTAGTATTTAAAATTCCAGAGTTGACATACAAGTATTCTATAAATATCGTGAAGGGCGTCCAAAAACTGTGTTCACC